ATTATACAACGTTGTTTGTCAGTTCTAGTCTTTATTTGGTTCTAGTAATCGAGATATTACCTACGCCAGACAGTTAATTGCATTAGTTGGTCTGTTACAATTATTATTGGGCAAGAAGATTCTGAGACATTTCTTATGCGAGTTTTTCTGCATCACAAATCTCCTGGATTCCCCACCGAGAAAGTCACGTCTTTCAAATACATGTTTTAATCCTTACCAAGCGCTTGGATCTGGCCGGGTAAGTATCACAATGATTTATTCATACTTCAAAGTATTACATATAAGACGATATGATGGTCTTGGAAAAAAGACCATGACAGTCACATTTTTAAAAATTTTGTTCGTATGTCATGCAACGCGGAGTGCAAAAAAAATTATTATTATACACCATTTTGAAACTCTAATTCAGCATGGAACGGATCCAAAATTTCAGAAAATAACCATAGAATTTTCACATATTTGTCTATATTCATTAGCGTATCTTTTATTTAGTGAAACAGATGTCTTTAGAAACGAGGAGTTATGAATAATAATAATTTTCTAAATCGATCCCCTGTCTGCCTTCATGACAAAAATAAGACTATCATTATTATTTCAATTGATGGCTTGGCTATCATAAATTGCTGTGAGAAGAAAAAAAATGTCAGTTTTTAGAATCATAAGATAGGATGATCTCTCCAATTCATAGCGGATAATTAATCATAAAGCTTGACGATCTCTTGAACACAGATAATAGCAAAGAATATTATTTTGTGACTATATGGACTTGGAGCTTTCATTTACAGTTGATTGTTTATATATTCATTGCAGATTATTTATTTTTCATGAGTAGATATATGAGTTTTTCTAGCCAAAATACGTGTTAGCTGGAATCGAATATCCTTCATCAGAAACGGGAATTGGTTGTTAACACACGCGATAATATTTCCAAGTCTATATGTAATCGCCGGAGAGCAACGTTTTCTTTAAGCTATTTTAGATTTTAGTTGTCTCTTTTGGTGAAGTGATTCAAGCCTTCGAGTCGAGAGAAGAGACGGATTGTGGTCTGCAAGTAAAGAAGCTTGTTCTGCATCCTCGATGAATAATTCAGTACGGGTAAATTGAGTCAATTAAATTCTACGTTATTAAGAACTGTCGAGAAATTGAGATCAGTATCTAATAGCCAAGCTGGGCTGATATGTTATTATCAACACGTCATGTATGATTTATCTCGAATATTCATTTTTGACGATAAGATTCCTTCACTTCACGGGGAATAAAGAAAACCACTGAAAACAGCTGCCTTGCCCTCTAGAGGAACATGTAGCTTACATTAGGCTCCGTTGCTGCGGTGGTAGCGCCCAATCCGTTCTTTGAGACACTTAAAGTTCGCGAAACTTAATATCTACCTCGAAAATGTGTTTACATTTTAAATCCCAGATCAAATTTGTAATTCTCCTTACTGTCAACCATACTATTCTTATAATGTTACTTCAGAGATTTAGTATTGGATCAATTAATTATCCCCAAATTGATAGTTTTCTTTATTCTCGTCACTTATCTGGTTGATATTGTATTGATATAGTAAGGAGAAATTCTGTCTTGGTCACTCATGGGAGTTAAAGGGTTAATTGCAGTTAACCTGCAATGATAAATTGGTCATGTATCATCCGCCGTCTCAAATGTGGTCAAGGTCATACGTGATTAATATTAAAATAGAAAGTTATTTTTTGTCAGTGGTGAGTAATCAGTTAGAGCGAATATGGTCACTATTTGTAATAAACAGGGCGTCACAGCTGTGAGAAGTGATATCACAAATTTACGCAGGGGGTCTGCATGCATCTGGCTAAATCAGTAGATCAGGGTGAGAGCAGAAGAATGTAAGCAGAATTTTAATTCAACGAAAGGTCAGTACAGCGTGATATCCTGTCACAAAAAAGGCAAATGTAAAATGAAAACAGCTCATGTAGATATTTGGGATTTTTACCTCGTGGAAAATACCACTTAAGATAACTTTGAATATACGTTTTGAAAAATGATATGCGTTGGGGAAATTTTATTTTTTAGTACAATTTTCGAATCTCGCTACATTTACATTCCGTTTAAAAATCCAATCGTTTGTTTGCGTTGCAGGGTTGTATTTGTAAAGAAGCATTTTCTTCAAAAAAATGTTAAGCTGCCTCTCTTCATTGAACTTGGTCTTGGTCTTGGTCTCTGTGTTTCTGCTTAAAGCTTCTCGTCTAATTACTTAATTGTGGTGGTCGATTTAAAGGTTGGACTCTTTATAGAGTGACAAAACATAGCATTTTATATTCATGTTTTTTAAAATCGTTTTTGACTGCTTCGATGAATTAATTTGATATTGAGTGAAGTCTTCATAATAAGATTCCGTAAAGTTTATGATCATCTTCTGCATGAATCCTATCTCAGAACCGAATGGTTGATAATCTGAGACATTCAAGAAACATGTACGTGTCGATGTTTTAGGACTGTTTCTGAAAGATAAAGAAGAAAATTAGAAATTAACTAATTCTAACAATTATTTTTGCTTGGCATTGGCTTAAATTTCTAAAAATTAAAAGTTAAATTACATACTCAAGGTATTTACAATAAACAGGAAACACCAGATAAACACCAATAGCTTTTCAGTCTTTTTATAGACCTGAAAACCAAATATATCGCGTTTATTAAATGATCTCATCCAAAAAAAACGGCTCGTTGTCTCCACATCTTTCTTGAACATTCTCTGACAGTAAGCACCTTTGAGTGATTCTCTTCGAAGGAAACCACCATACGAAACCTCTCACCTTCTTCAGATGATGTGATAAAATGGCTGACACACAGCACTTATCGAACAATGTAACTATATCGTCGTTTTCAGAAAGACTGAAGTATTTTCAATGTGTGTCACAAAAGAGCAAAGTTAATGATATGTTTTGTCTGAAGAAATAAACCCTTTAAACAATGCAGACGCTTTATTTAAAGGCACAATTTGGTAACAAATAAATTGCTGTGCATCGGCGATTTACATAACAATACATTGTTATTATGTGATGCTTTGCATGAAAATAATTGACGTGCTTTGATATACTTTAATATTTCATTCGATAATACGAGGCTAGTGGCCTCTTCTAACCATTTGTTGGTTAAGTACTTTCAGGTGTGTAATTCGCTTAACATCCCACGCACTACAATACTCGTCTACTAGAAAAATCTAGGTGAGGTTGACAAATGTCGATCTAATATAAAAGTTGTCTAAAATCATCAAGGAGAGATGTCGAACATCTGGGGTGGAAAACTGTGAGTAGTTTGTGTCCAAATCTGTTCGTCTAATACCACTACAGAGTAACTGCCTTGGTAAGAGTTGAGCAATCTTTGTTGTTATACGAATTTATTAAACTAGCTTCGTTTAATTCCTCTTCAGCGCGCATGGGATGATCGATAGACAAATATATCCAGTTTCTGCTTTCTGTGCGTCTCCGTATAAAAAATCTACTTTATCACAGTTGTTTACCGCCCAAAATCGTCGTAGTTTTTTTTTCGTTGTTGATATGGTAGACTAGCAATCATGAGTCTCAGAATTGAAACTGTTGTCAAATACTTGCATAAAATCTGATGTCAATTTAATAGCATGTGTGTATTCCAGACGTATTGATCGATTATATAGTTGCATGTAGACCGAATGCAGTAAAGTACAGACCGTAGAAAATTTTGAAAAATATTAAACTGATGGATTTCTATTCCAAACGACGGGTGAAAATTTAATTTCAAATGTAAGACCAGCGGAACCTTTTACTAACTAAGTCGACCAACAGAGCGCTGATAACTTATGAGCTTCAATGGCATAATTAGGCAACTCGGCGGTAAAGCATTTCTACCGGAACACTTGGAGTCATATAGTTCCATATAGTTCCATGTCTGACTTATAAATCGCTGTGTATGACAAATCAAGCTATTTCCTGTTTGCATTTCACTGTTAATGCGACTGTTATCAGCTGTTTTGAGTCAAGTCAAAAGGACATAAAATTGTCTCATAAAATTAGATAAGGAACTTCAAGTGTTCAACTATTTTGCTTGAAATATTGAGCGCAATCTTCCCAACTGATGATCACAATCTTCCAAACTGATGATTATACTCTCATAACACAGTTCTTTGTTAGCTTTTCATGAACATTTAGTGATCTATCAAGAAATTGTCACCTAGATGATAATTTTCATCTTTCTGTTTGAGAGTTCTAAACTGTTGCAGATCAAATTTATAACTTTATCACTAAGAAGGAAAGCATATAAAACCTTAAAGTCAAGTCATGATCGGTCATGATCGCTTAAAAGAGCTACGCATCATAAATTTGATTGATATTGAATCAAACAAATGCTATTGGTCTTTCATCAAGCTTTCAGACATTTGCTACTTCCCTAACCCTCCTAAAGTGATCTCCGAAATACCGTGTACAAACTGGCAGTTGAATACATTGGAAGAGGGGTGAGCGGCGATAGAAGAGCGTGTGTGGTCTCCCAAAGATGCTAGTTCCAACTACTTACGTCCGATGACGGTATACATACGTTCCTACCTGAACTCAGGGTTACCATAAAAGCCATATAGCACCTACAAATCATTATACAAGCAGTTTTAGATATCACGTTCACAACTCAGCTCTAAATCTGATGAGTGAAGAGTGCCATCCCTATGGCAAGAAAACCGACACGAAATTTCGTGATACAACTTTACACTCGAGTTAAGTTATCGCTTCTCGAGAAGAAAAAGCAAGTGCTTTTTTGTTTGTTTGTTTAAAAGATTCAGGTCAACATCTTCGTACGTCGGCTTATAGATTCTTGGAGCGTGGGCACCGCAAATCATCGCTGGGACGGCTAAACAATGGCTGTCGGAACACGCTTTATAGCCAAAGGCATTTAAGTCAGTTTGAAATTGATACTCACATCGAGAGTGTTTGTAGGTTATTACATTTTTAGAACAAAAGGTCAAGTTCTGCTATCATGTGTGTGGATCAAAGTTTCCTTTGTTGATCAAAAGCCCGCGTCCGATATTCTTGACACGACTTAGCAGGAAATATCATATTGGTGTCAGTTAATTTCCCAAGTTAGACAATTCAGTGGTGTGTTAAGCCATAGAGCTTCTTACTGAGTTGAATCACTGATCAGGGGAAGAGTATTTGGAGATTCACGGAAAATTAAGGTACAGTGTAGCAACGAAACCGTTTATAGAATAAATCAGTCTTAGGTGCTATGCAGTTGAAGTCAGTTAGAGGCCTTTGTGAAAGTGATTGTCCACGAATTCACTAAGATCATCCTTAAGAAATTTTCTTTACTGAAAAATATTCGATGAAGTCGCAATGAGGACTGCCTGAACTAAGCAAATTTAAAACTTGTTTGCCTTTCATTTTGTGGCCTTCAGAAAACATTGCATCTAAATCAATTTGTCCGGAAACAACTTTAAATATCTGCTGTTCTACAAATCACTGAACACTCAAAGGCTACTCCAGTTACCCGAGATCAACACCTTTCACGCAACGACACCTTACAACTAAAACGGATAACATTCCTCAATAATTTTACGACGAAAATTTACGCATGCAATCGAACATTTTTACACGCGTTCTTTCGAAGCAAAGTATCGACGTCAGCATCGACAGATGGATTACTGAATTTTCAATTTTATGACACGAATCTATCTTTCTTTTCGAGAACTGCATTTTTAAGACTCTAGATTCAATCTCATATTTTTTATCGCGTGCAATCCATCCAAGCTACCCGAATTATAATGAAGAAATGTAAAATGGTTTCCGTGTTTACATAGCCTGATGTAAACACGCGGGAGGTTGGGAGAACACGAGATAAGCGTAGGAAACCACGACGCGAAGCGGAGTGCTTTCCAGCTTATCGAGTGTTCTCCCAACCTCCCAAGTGTTTACATCAGGCTATGTAAACACGGAAATCATTTTACATTTCTTTTATAAAATAAATAATGAAAGAGGAACGAAAACCGTGTTTGCATACGCTCATGTAAAATGGTTTTATGGCCAATCAGAGCGCGCGTACTATTTGAATTATTTTATAATTTGAAACATTACAAAGGACCTTCGTAAATTTTGAACCAAAAGCAAGTTACACGAGCTGAAATTTAAATTTAAACTATGATATCGCAAATATTACTGCCCACGGCGTGACGCATATATGTACTTTTAGTCCTCCACTCCACTTTTCAGTCCTCGACTTGAGCTAGGTAAATTCCAAAGTTAAAGGGATTTGTTACCGAGGTGAGAACTAACATTGAAATTAGTCTAGATTCATTTTACACCTTAACTAAGTAGACGTTAAGATTTCGGCTTCTCTCACTCAAATCCAATTTTCTGAATCTATATCAGTTTTAAGTATCAATTGAGGAATATTATTCTCTTACATTAATCGAGTGCATTGGTGCATCTTGAACGGTTCTAATGAGTTCATGAACCTCTTTAAATCCCTCTTTTCATTTCGTCAGCAGCATACAGATGTCAAACAGCACAGTCATACCGCCTATTAACCTCATACAAGAAAATGGCTACACTGAGGTGCCAAGAACACCGCTGGTCATAATTTTAGCGTTTCTGTCATTTAGCACTGTCCTCGGGAACTGCGTGATATGCTTTGCCATCTACAATCATCCTGCCTTGCGTCATGTGACCTACTTGTCAATTTTCAGCCTGGCGATCGCGGACTCTTTAGCAGGCCTGGTTGCCATGCCAAGTTATATCTTGAAAAAGTTTACATGGGATGAACCAACGCAGACAATTGTATGCGATATTTTTCGTTCTTCGTATTTCCTGACGGGTTACGCTTCCATTCTAAGTTTATCAGTCATCAGCGTGGAGCGCCTTATCGCAGTGAGAAATCCGCTGAACCACGTAATTATTGTCTCACGTCGTCGAGTAGTGCTGGCACTGGTCTTTGCATGGGTGGACGCCCTTCTGGTTTCGTCACTTCCTTTCTTCCCATGGGAACCAAACAATCCGTATAAGGAATGCAGCTACAGTCCGACTCGCTGGTGGAGCATTATGGTCATCATATCCAATGTAATGACTCCATTCCTTGTCATTGTAATTTGCTACAGTCTCATGTATCTAACAGCCCAATCCCATGTCAAAAAAATGTCAAAGAACAGTAGGCAGCTATCCCACAACAGTAAAAATTCCGCCAAGAATCACAAAGAACGCCGAGCTAACATTACCATCATGATTGTGATTGGCGTCTTTGTGTTGTGCTGGTTTCCATCCTGTTTATATTATTTCCTTCAGAAAACCTGTCCGCAATGCTTCTCTGAAGCATTCAAAGCCAAACAGAGTCTTGTCAATGCTTTAGTGAAGGTTCTGACTTTCACTTCGTCCTTTTTGAATCCCATAATTTATTGCTGGAGAAGTCGCGAGTTTAGAAGCGTATTTCTGAAAATTTGCCGCCGAAAGAAGCGCAGCTTTTCTAATTCATTTTCCAGTCATTTTAACATTCGCGTTTCACGACGGAACAGTAATGATCAAACAAGGCCTCGACGTTCTACAGCAGAAGAAGTTGTTATTAACAAAGAAACTCTCGAATTACTAGTAAACAGTAAATCAAGTAGTGTGTAAAACGTTTTACTTAAAAAAAAAGTTTTACCTGTTGATCACGGTCTGCGGTTGCCCCTAACATTTGTATCAAGCCAAAAACTTTACAAGCTACTCATTAACAAACAGATGCCATGTTGCTGTGCCTCTGTTTAGTAATAGATCACTGATGAGAAGTTAGAGGAGTTGTTAATACTTGAAGATAGATAGAGAATGTAATAGATGGGTGCGCGTGGATATGGAATTTCTCTTCGAGTGTTTTACTCGATAGCTCACGAGAGAGCGCAGCGAACGAGTGAGGTGTTGAGTTGAACACGAGAAGAGAAATTTCATATCTACAAGCAACCATGTATTATTTTTTCATCATATAAACACAATAGCCCTTTACTGACAAGAAAAGAAAACCTTGTGAATGAATGAAAATAAAAGGATCGACAATCCCTGAATAACAATCGAACAGTGCGTTGGCGCCAAGGCTCAAATGGAAAAATGCGTTGAAACGCTACAAAAAAAAATGGGCGTAATTTTCAATATAAAAAATTCTCAGTTATTGACTTAGTCCTTACCAAAGCCACTGAATACGTAACTTTCGGTTTTTCTTTCCGTATTTTGGTGTTCTTCCCCCTCTAGGAAGGTTTGAACTGTCACTGAACACACATGTAAAAATACGATCTTTTTCCACGTGTGTTATAACGGCTTTTCTCAGGGCTGGAAATCCTTGTATAATACCGTAGTATCTATGATAAAATTCTTTTCCACGCCGGCAGCCATGTAATATCCTCTGTACCAAAAAGATGAAAAAGAAATAGGATCCTTAAAAAGAATTTAATTAGTATATTAAAGCTGGACAAAAGTTGACGAGGGGAACGAATGTAATTCCCTATGGAACCATCCTCCTTAAAATTCAAGTTCTTGGCCGACTTCCCTACAAAACAGCAGTATATCGAGGCCAGTATGAAGGACAATCCACCAAATTTAAAACAAGCGAAGGACCGATCTGGTGGTTAAATGAGTTTGCGAAGACAAATGTCGGAAGGAAATACCGCACTTAAGTCGGTTAGCCACCGACACTGAGGTGAACCATTGTTTTAGTGTATACTAAACCGAAGATAATACGACACAAAAATAGTGCACATCACAATCGAGTTCCTCGGAAGTGAATACCAAAGGATATTCGGAGTTGGAGTAGCCAATCAGAGCACACCTTCCAACGCTATTCACTGTTTTAGTATACACTTATCATGACTATCATCTTAGCTAATACGACCTCACTCAATTTTAACCCTCAGGGTAGAATGTTTTTTTTAATTGAGAAGAGATTACTAGAATAGATAATAGCTTAAGTTACGCCTTAATCACTGTGTGATCACTGTTACTGCCTTATGTAAATATCTGACATTTTACACTTGGATGTAAAGTGAAGTGAGTGATGGGTACACAAGTCCTGTAGATAATCATGTCAAGTTAGGCTTTAAAATATTTCTGTGAAAAGCATTTTTTTATTCGAAGCCCTCACTCATGTTTTTACCATTAACGATACAATGCAACACAGTTTTACCAATTATTTTACACTAGAGCTTAATGATACAACTCTACAATAGTTATTTTACAACTAAACAACATAAAACTGCACAATTGTTACCCTTGAGAAAAACAACGACACATTTAATCAGCAGGGTTGCGCCTCAATTCAAAATCCAACAATATATCCTGTCAATTACAATATTCCTGCAATTTAAATCGACACTAGAAATCATTTATCACTTCGTAATTATCGCTGAATTATTCCTTTTATGCATTTAATTTCAGCTCAAGTGGGAAAACAACAAAATATTTGGTGTATAAAATCGTAAGGGAGCAGAAGGGCGAGGCTATCTTGAGAGAAAATTACATCCAGCTTATTTTCACAAATACAAACATTTTTAAGAACGTTGCTTTTGAAGTATGACGATTAACGTCGCGAGGAACTAATTTCGAATTGAGAAATCTATTATATTTTACACATATCACCCTAATTATGCATAGTTTAACAAATTACAAAACCAACAGCAGATACCAATATAAAGTTATTATCAAGTTGAGATTTCAAAGTTGCGATCAAAATGACTCTCGTTTCTTTGAAGTTTGTTGGCTTTGTTTGGGTTGCCTCTGGTATTTCTTCAGTGCTCCATGGCCAAGATTCTAATGTTGAAATGTTCAAATCTGTGAGCGGTGAACAAATAGTCTTTTCAAATTTCGTTGTGTATTTGCATAGCCTTCTAAATGTTTCCGCCATGGAATCACACTCCACCGAGACACCTGAAGATTGCCAGGATCTTTGCCTACTCACCCCCCACTGCTTCTCTATCAATATGGCTATCCATTCTAACTCTGAGAACCGTCGACTCTGCCAGCTGCTGTCCACTAATAAGGAAGGACAGTCTGAGCACTTTGGACCAAGCAACTATTTCAACTACTTCACGACAGTGGTAAGTATTTTTGTTTTTTGAAAGGATTGTTTAATGCAAGCTTTCTTCTTGAACACCGTCATTTCGATCGAGATCCAAAACTCTGTCTTTTTTCACAAATTTGTTTTCAGATAAAACAAAATTATGCATTTTCTCTCCGTCATTTCTCCGGCAGCAAACGTTTCATTTTTAGACAGTTTCGTTTTGATCCCACCAAGGTAAATAGAATTAAAAAAAATAATTTTCAAAGGATTAATCATAATATCTCGGTAAGCGTATTTGAGATTTTCAAGTGTCATCCTCTCTTGTTTGTCACTGTAATAATTCCTCGTTTATTCTTTTTTACAGTTCCTTTTTTTTTTTTTTTTTTTTTTTTGTACTTTACCTCTGTGTTTGGTTCTTACTCTTTTTCAAATTATGTCAGCTCTTTGTATCTAAGCTGCATTTTAGAATTTCCCTACTTTTTGTGGCGCCTTTTCATCGCCTTTAAAACATTCCTTTTAAGCCTGCGCCATGCTTCAGTCAACCTTGTTTGCGCAGGGGGACATGTCATCAACACGGCACAAGCAGCAATTTTACCTGTGAATGTGCCCCTGGCCTTGAAGGACAATTCTGTGAAATTGGTAAGGAAGCATTTTGCCAAATATGTATTTTCTTCAACATTTGATTTTCAAAAGAAACGAGAGAAAAAACTCAAAAGCAAGCAAACGAAGAAATAAACAGACACAACTGTGAACCGATTAAGCTTTTTCGGGATCTGGTTCAATACGTAAACATATGGTTTTTACCCTATCTTTACGGAGTTCTTAACTTATTCTTTTTCAGGCGGTACAGGATGGGTTAAACTGAACGTCCGGGGACCGGTCTGTATTGGCGCTAAAGGAGATGCCTTTGGGCGTGTGTCACCTCAGTTTGTAGGATACGTTGTCGCTATTAAACTTGTTCACGTCTCTGGCCTTTTATATAACTCAAGAAATTCTCCTGGAGCGAAATGGGGACACGCCAGAAACAATAAACTTGGAATCCTTATCACTGACGACCAGAATCAAGTCAAGCTTCCCGAAAACTTTACGGGTCCTCAATTTTACACCATGGCAGGCAACACAGCCAGTTCACCGGAGTTGGTGTTCCCCAATTTTACAACGCCCAAAATTGTCTCGACGGATTTGGAATTGAGATTGTGGTATTTGGAAGACCATAATGACACATCTGAGGCTGATAACAGGGGTGAATCTTGTGCAGATGTTTTCATGTTTTACGTGTAAAACTTTGAATTGATTTCCAATCGGTCACAGGCGTAGCAAGCAAGTGCGGGTACAGGTGTCTGTATCCTTACCCCTCCCCCCTTCTTATTCCACATAGCCTTTGTAAAATAATAATTTTTGCGAAGTTTTTTTGAAGATAATTTTTTTAAATATTGGTTTACGAAATCGCGCGAAGGTCGACAATCTACTCGGCGTAAACCATTTCCAGAGCTAGATAAAACATTTACTGGCCATTCTCACCGCGTGAATACGAACCCTCTGATGTCCAAGGATGAGCGTCATTAATCACTGTATGTAACGAGCACGAAAATTTTTAACTGATCAGTCTCTGTTGTTGATAGTACTTGTTTGCTCATCCCTGTCATTAAAACTCCAATCGCAAAAACGTATTCTGAAATGTATAAATAATTTGATAGGCTGATCTGCAGTCCATCACAAAATGAATTTGAGATGTACTTTTGGTTGCTGCGCGAGTGATCAAAATTTAAAAATAGCACTCAGAAAATGTATTTACATACTCCATGAAAGAAATAATTTCTGTCCTTCCGCTGTAAATGCGAACAAAAGTACGTGTGTGCAAATGTCATGTGTGGAAAATCAAACCCATTCTAAAATAAGATATTCCTAGAGTCCACGATGATTCTTCATGAGGAATAATTGAGATATATCAAAAGGATGAAAAGGTATAAAATAAGGAAGCTTTTTCACAATGAAAGAAAAGAAGCGAGTTTCGTCTTAACCCAAGTGTGAAATAAAACTACCAGCATTTTGCCATGAAGAGACAGTTCTTTGATTGTTATTATTCAACTGTTTACTGTTGGAAGCCAAGTGTACCTCTATCACGGAGAAGGATAATTGTACAATTCAGTTCTCCTTTAGTAAATCAATTTTGGCTGGCTATAGTAATGGTTGTCCGGTAATCTTATTGGCCTTTTTACTCAATTGAGCCTCACTTCAAGAGGTAAGGTTAGAAAACTGGTATGAAATATGGTATTTATTGGTCTAAAATACGGTCATGGCAATTGTATTCCCCCTCCGCTCCCCCACCCCCACCCCCATTCTCTTCCCTCCCCTACCCCCCTCTCTCGCCTTCCATTTACGAGGCGTATGGATTATAAACGAGATTTTAGATCTAAAACCATGAAGTACGTCGTGATCAAAGAAATCTGGCGACACGATGGCAGTAAATTTGACATAAAAAATAAAAAATAAAAAATAAAAACTACAAAGCACGCCGTGACTAATCCTGAGTGATCACCTTCATGCTGTGCTGGAGACAAAATGGCGGAAAGTTGGTCACCTCGGCCATTTTATGTGTGGGTGAAAATTCCAGGCACGCTGTGTCGAATCATTTCTCCATATTGGCATTATCACGCACAAAATGGCCCCGAATTAAACAGAAAACCATGCGGCGGTGAAAAACATGCATACTAAGGCATTATTTTAAGTCCTGTTTCAGACCCAAGTGGGAAAAATTATTTCCCTCGTTGGCGCTGAAATCTCAATTTTATAGGAAGTCAGAAACATAAATCAAAATTTGTTTGTCCTCAGCTCGCAAAGGTGGTAAAAATTTTGTGTGATGTCTTATATTCAAAGTCATCATGAGAATCATAAAGATTATATCACAAATGGAGATTCTCATTGTCATATAAATTGAAACAGAAGGACAATTACACAAAATATCTCAGCCACATTTATTCCCTTAAGAAATAATCTATGTTATTTACCAGCTGGTAGGTGCCCGGGGCCGCAAGCACGGGGAAGCGTCTTTGAGCCTGGGGTCATTGTTTTCAAAATACAAACAGACATCCCAGCCAACAAATAAAATACACTTATTAATAGATTTATTAGTGAATCTTTTTTCTTCTCGAATACAGAACATTTAAGCTACTCTGCAACTTTCGGCATGTTATGCCTCAAAGAACTTAAAATGGGGAGTGCCTACCGTTTGCTTGATTGACAGCTCAGATGAGACCAGATAAAGAAATGATGAGTAGATCACTATCTAATTTATCACTCGTAAAAATAATTAAATTTTAGGGAAATATGATTCTACCTGCTGCCTCTCATGAATAAGGAGGTATAAAATGAGGACGCTTTTTTACAAAAGCAGAATAGAAGTGAGCTTCGTCGAACCACAAGTCAGTCGTGAAAGAATACTGCTAACATTGAATCATGAAGATGTTTCTCCTATTTTTGTTGTTTACCTGTTTACAGCTGATGGCCGAGTCTGCCTCAATCAAGGAGAAAGGTAACTGTACAGTACAGTTTGCCGTAAGAATTATTTTTTGGTCTTTCTGTGTGGGTGTGTGCGTGTCGCTCTCACCCCTCCAGTGCTTCTGTAACCTTTTCGAGAATCTAATAAGCCAATTCAGTTATTCAGTATAGCACTCACGGCAAACGGCACGCAGCAAGTTCTTGTCATCGTTTACCCTTTTTTAACTAAATTATTTTGAAATTTCTGCATTCCCTCTGAAAAAGATCTCTTCAGCATCCACAACCTCTTCTCTCTAACTAAGCCCCCTTCAAGAGCAAATGTTTGATCGTTTCGCATCTTTTGCAAATGAACAAAAGTGAAACAGGAAAAATTAATTCAGCGGCGATGCGCTCCTAGGCTCACTTTGTTCAATGTTTGCCGGACCAAACATCGCCTTTATTTAGTCACTGTATAATGTGTGCTACAAACGCGATATTGACAGAAAATGTTTTAGCTCAATCAAGTTTTTCAACGTTTGGCTGATCCTCTCTTCTCCATGATGGTAAACCTATAACCGATTCACACTGGTTTTTTTCGATTCCCTTCAAAATTGGAATAAAAAAGACTTCAAGTATGGTATTTTAAAAAATCCACGAAGCTTAAATCTTGTCACATCAGCTTGGAAAACAACCAATTTGGGATCCACCTTGGTAATCGAGGACATTAATGCTTTTGGTTTGGGAAGAAAATATCTTGTGGCTAATGTTATCTTGACGTGGTATAATAGGTATATAATTTCTAAAGTTACAGTACTTTAAAGTACTGTAACTTTATGAAGGGTGATGAATTTTTAAAATTACCCAAAATCTTTGTAGAATGATGAATTTTTAAACAATTCATCACCCTACAACGATTTGGGTAATTTTCAAAAAGAAAAAGAAAAAGAAGAAATGAATATGAACTTTTATGATTAAAAACCATCGCCCTATGTGTTATTGAAACATCACTTTTTGTTTCATTATAGAGGAGATTGCAGGTATTCTACGTGAACCAGCAGGGTGCACAGATGAAGACCCCACCTATTGCAGCACATTTGGTAACCAATACTGCACAAATGTACGACTTTTTTCCACTACCAGCAACTTCGATGACTTCAAAGGAAAGTGCTCCGCCTTTTGTGGACTCTGCTAGGAGAATAGGTAGGCCTAAGGATAACTCTTTTCTCAGAAACAATAGGGTTGCTTATTTGAACAAAGTTTAGCTGATGACTGACAAAACCTCGTTCTGAGCCAACTTAAATATAGCCGAACCTTTTACTTGAACAATTGAGAGCAGTTTCAACAGGGCCGAAAACTAATAGTGGATTGACCATTTTTAAATTATATCAACCCTTTTAAGGAGGGTAAAACCGCGTAAATATCAGTTAGGTACTATACGTAAAAACCGCGTAAAACCAAGTGGTCAAAGTCCTTTTCAATTGACTGTCGAAACAGCAATATCTGAGTAATCACGACGACCAATCAGAACAAGGAAAAATATCACTTAAGAACAAACAGGCGAAGAGCATGAAGCGCGAGAAAACGCGCGTGACCAAGTTGCAAACAGTTTTAGTTTTGGATCTGATTGGTTCAGAGAGAAAGTGGCGGGAGTTTTCTGGACCAATCACAGAGCTAAGTTAAACAACACCAAAGCAACCTTCAATCACTTTCTGTACTCAGTGAAAGCTGCTCTAATAAAAAGTATTTCTTTCTTTCTCATCTTTGTCTATATGTGTCCATCACCCAAAAACCAAGCGTTAAGAGAAACCTGATGCTATTAAGAAAGCTAGTCTTGTTACTGTCTGTGCAGAACCTTTAGGATTTCTAACCATTGTTATCTGAGACATGCTCATAAAATTCATCTCTCCTCTTTTCAGGACACAAATGACGTGAGTGGAGAGTTGAAATGAACAAGAAAGAGTGATCTATATGCTTATAATTGTTGCCCTAGAGCTGTAATAAAAGAAATGATCATCAGCTGTTGTTCATTAGTTTGAGTTTTGTATTGTACTTTGCGAATTGAATATCAAAATGACGGAAACCTCGAAATTTGTACCGTTCCGCCTCAAATTCCGAACTCAAAGATAGAACAAGGACCTTTGTGACTTGGGGACTTAAACTGCCTGTCGAGGACGAAGAATTTGGGACCTGTGAGAGCCTTTGCTAATTATGATGTCATAGAAAAAATGAGGATCTGTCTGCCCCTAAAAAGGAGGCTGCAGATTAGAGACTTCTCAGCGGACAAAAGACCCGTACCCGAGTAGATAAATATTCCTTGTCAATCACCTTTCAATAACCTTAAATGATTTTCATTGGAATCGCGTAACCACTTTGTCCTCCATAGCTGCTATAACTTTCCTCCGACATAGCCGCAGCTATTTTCGTGTTTGACAGGGTGAGAGAGGAGAATTACGCTGTATTTCATCTCGATAATTAATCAGAGAAAATGAGGATCAATAAATGTGATTCACAAGAACACAATATTTTCGCTCCCTGTAGTCGTAATGCAGCAAGCACTTCGATGATAGCACGTTAATCTGCATAACCTATATGACCGTTCGGGATCGAGGTGTAGTTACGATTTGAAAATGGCAGCTGCGCTTTTATAAAAAGCAATTAAGCAAATTCGGGCGGCCAGTCACAAAGAGGTTCATTAAACAGAGTGCAGTGCATGAATTAACAACTGACAAACAAAACAAATCCGTACTTTTGAAATTTTGATAAAGGAGGAAACATTCGTGTCTTGTATTATAAACGTAGATTTGGAAGAAATTTAAAATTACACCTTTGAGCAGGAAAGGTTGTCCTAGTTTGTTCAAATGTTAAATTTGCACAGGCGTCAGTATTTGCTTGCTTAAATGCAGCTGTCATCTCTGCTTGACACACATCTCCGGGGCAAGATCTGTCATTAGGTGTAAAAGGAAAAATAATCAGGATAAGCGAGTGGATGATCGCATTTACAAAAGCCAATGCAATCCACTGATCTCGTTGTAAATTAGAACAGCAGGTTTTATGGTCGATCCCAGAGTATTTCTCTAAAGGCACTGAATGGCTTGTGAGTTGTAATCACATCCATCGTTCACACGTTTCTAAAAGTGCAATGACGGCATATGCCATTTTTAATCAACTATAAGGAAAATATCACTAATTTCCATTACCATCTTTTCGGCTAATAGCGGCTTTAAAACACATATCTCACTCCTTCCACGAGCGGTCGATCGAATCGAGGACGAAGCTTTAAGATTAAACTTTTATGCATTGCTTATTTAAGGTAAGTGGTAACTAAACAAGAGTAACTTTTCATGTTTGTGAGAAATGTGTCTGTAGCTTCGTTCCATTTGCCTATCCTCATGATCTTTAAGTCGTACGAAATGTAAACGACCACGCTGTGAAAGTATACAAAGGATGAAACTTCGTTAATGATAACAGCAAAAACAAACCATCATTACGCACGCTCTTCTCTTAACTGTTCCTTCTTGTTGCATAAATAAGACCAAATTGTTTGATCGAAGACAGAAATTCGGTGTTTTTTATCCAAGCTTTTTATGTAATTTATTTTCGCCCATAGCAGTGATGAAATTACTATTTTTACATCAGTGAGACTTCACGGACCAAGTCAAGTATAACAAAACCTTTTACATGCTCTTGTTCTCTACTAAAACAGGTTGAGAAATAAGAAAAAGATTTGATTATTTTCTTGAGGAGAAATTTTAATCAACTTGCTTTTTTCCCAAAATGGTAGAAAACAATCCCGACGTAGTTGATTCTCATTTTCATTTATTAATTTCAATACATTTATCGATGACCTGAGAAAGAAACACTTGGTAGAGTTTAAATCAACAAAACACAGACATAGATCATTAGCAGTTTTAATTTTACGTCCTTTTTTTAGGATTTATTGATCTCTTCTCATCATTATTTTTTCAACTGGCGCAGAGTCCCTTTTCATTATTCCACGAAACATTATATCGTTATTACATTTTCCCAATTTTTATTAGCACTTTTCATCGACTCGACAGGAATACAATTTTTTTAATGACCGCCTTCTATGTTTTGCTTTGTTACGACTTTTCTGATTTCCTTTTTTTCTTTTCTCGTTAGTTTTAACTGTCATTTCACCGACGTCAACTTAGGGAAACTGAAAAAATATTTATTTATACTTTTCCCGTTCATGATTTTATTTTAAATTGATGTCACAAATATTCAAAAGAACCAACCACATTAGTTACACTACTAACATTTAGTACAGGATGACGAGCGTAATTTGAATGGCTTTCAGAAAGCTGTCTTTAATCTTACCGAACCGGGCTTATGATAGCTATTTACGATATTAAAAGTTATTTGAAATTCGCTTCCTCAAGTAAGGCAGACGGAGAAGTTTCTCCTCGGTTCGTTTGATGACCTTTCTTTTCAATCAAAAACAAGTAAAGCTTTGCAAACACAATTTTCATTGACGTTGATTTCTATGCAGTGCTTCATCGCCATAAGAAAGGTTGATGTTTTTAATTTGTTCTAAACCTTACAAAATAAAAATTCACAAGTAAAATTATATGCCCATGTGAATTAACAAAAAGCGGGCTATCTTTGTGCGCCATTTGATGTATTGCACATGGAACTAAAAGTGCCGTATTCCGGATTCTCGTAAGTAATTTTTCCTTTTTGGGTAATGCGACTTTTGCACTTTGAAATTAAAACCATTTGGAAAGTGCGAAGTTGCACTTAGTTTATGGATTTCTAAGTGGAACAAAATTTGCATTCTACCTTAATCTTAGAGCCAAACCTATCTTTTTCGTTCAGCAGGTATGTAATAAGGAACATTTCAAATTTTCTATCAAGAATCTTTGCGTTGCATTGTCGCTGAATACCTTTCTTTTGGGGAAAAGGAAAAATTTCCATTACAATTCAATGAGTTACAAACCTACTAAGAATTTAATCTGTACCTGGAAAGATATGCAATAATAGGAAACTTGAATCAATATATAAAACAACAATCTGATTAGTTCTTATGAAAAAAAAAATTGGCCCTCTCGACAAAATATTACGATTCACATCAAGAACGTCATGGAATCACCTTCACGAATCGCAAAATTCAAGTGTGAATTCACGCTGGCCCAAACAAATGAAACGCTGAATAAAGCAGTGGTTAATTCATTCATTCACTTCTTTTGTCATTCATATTTTCTGAGTTGCATGCATAAACATATTTTTAGTATAACTTGCCCTGGGGAGAAGAAGCTACAAAATATATCCTCACTCCGGAAAAGTCAAGTACGATGCTAAAAGAAGCAATTTGCTGTAGTTTGGAGGCGTATTGTCTAAAGTGTCTTCTGATCTATTATGATTTTCTTAGATGAAAATACGAGCTTAAGAACGATGTGATTGCCCTAAAGTGAACAGAAGGTAATCTTATCCGTCCATCTGTAAGACTGTTTTCAAAAATAAATGTAAATTTTACAAAATCTATAAAAATAGAGATATCTGTTAGTGGCAATATGTACAAATGACAAATTCCGAATCGCGGTAATTCCCAGATCTGACTTTAGAATACTCAATGGTTAATTATACGAAAAAAAAATACACAGTGTGAAGTCAACTACGAACGCTTCAAAGAAACACTTCTGTCCAAACAACTGTCGACAGCTGCTCAAGGGCATATCAGTTGGCCATTACTAATTTCTGAACCAAAACCCAAATATCTTTTTGAAATCATAAAGATAGAATTTTTTCATGCAACAAAGCATTCCTCGTTGTGAATATTTCGCCATTCCACCATTCCGCTATTCAATCATTCCATCGAATGGCGTCACCCTGTTAAACTCAACGCATTGCTCCCTTCGCAAACATAGCGGGTCTTTTGAGCATTTGTCGCCGATTGAAATGGTAAAATGATCTCTTTTCGAATCAATGAAATTTGTCTTTAAAGTTTCCACGATATGCAGATCAAACCTATTTAGATATTTCTGCAAAGGAGAAGTCTTTTTTTCAATTACTTGCATGAGACGCCATTATGAAATTATTTTGAGATGTTTATCATCTATTGTAGTGTCACGGTTAGAACTGAAAAAATTGTATCTTTGGATCTACTGGAAATAATTCGCTGATTCAAACGCCAAAATGCTCTCTCTTTCAAGGAAAAGTTTTTCCTCTATATTTTCATGATGCGCTGATCACCACTTTTAAGACATTTCTGCAAGGAAAAGCTTTCTTTTCTCACGCGCCATTCTGAAATGATTGTGAGATGTTTGTCGTCTTCTGCCGCAAAGCCATAACGTTGTCCTAATGAGTGACTGAGGGTACAATAGAATACGAACGACCTCTTCGTCCACAACGAAGTCTGCCGAGTCTTACCCGATATTCCTCGCTTTTGCCTTTGGCTTACTTGGGAACATCTTCGGTCGTTCAAAGCTTAGTGACGATTTCTTCGAATCGCTTCGAATGTTGTACGGAACACTAGAAGGTGATTATTCTGTTTTTCGGTGCTACTTATTGTGTGAACGAAGAGGTCGTTCGTCTTCTATTGTTACCCTCACTCCCTCAGTAAGACAACGCTATGGTCTCGCCTCCATAGGAGGCAGTAGCCATAAAAAAATCATCCGCCATTTGATCGCAAAGAGGAAGGGAATTTTAGAAACCATAACTGGAGTGATTCAGGAAAATTAAAAATCGTGTCTTGGCAGCAATTTAAGCGCAACAAGAACCAATCATTTATGGTGTCAATTTTAGAATTAATAGAATTTGAAAGTGCACAACAATACAAAAAAGTAAATCGAGAGTGAGAAATGGTTCTTTCTTAAACTAGTTATGACGTTTTCCTTCATTCATTGTAAGGCTTTTCCATATATTCCACCGTCATAAAATATTCTTTCCTCAGTCAACCTGGTACATAAACATTTTCCAAATCACTGCTTTGAACGGAGATGCAATATTTAACTCAAAAGCGCCTTTCTGCATTTGAACACGAGAGTTTTCTGCACCAGTCTTATTGAGAGAAAAGTCTTTCACGAAGTAAAACTAAAACATATGTCGAAAACCTCAAATTTGTATCGTGAACAAGCTAACAAAAGGAAAATGAAGGCTTCTTTTCATTATCACGGCTTATTTGTCCATTTTAAATTTTCTGTTCAAGTGTTATTCCCTCTTTTGCTCTAAACTAGTTAATCCCGTGACAAATTCTTAACGCGATTTTCTTAATCGATTTTTTAATGAAACTAGTGTCAATTAATCTCTCAGCAAAGATATTTTCGAAAAATGAAACTCCTGTGTCGCTTTCGCAGGTAAGAAAGGCTAGTTATTGTCAAGATTGTGAAACACCCCCCTTTAAAGATCTTCAAGGGAGGCCAAACTGGTATGCATAAATGCACTTGATACAGCGTAGATAACGAAAATTGAAAATTCTCCTAGTAATGATTTTTAAAGAATTTTTATTTGCACGACACTACTACAGGGCGGTAAGTGCAACATGTTTTTGCGAATTTCAAATTCTCCATTTGAGTTTATTTCTGTGTCTAGAGGTTCTCAATGGGGTTAACAGTTAAAAATTTAACACTGAGTTGGACGTACAACATGACTAAGGTTAATCGTTCGTCGTAAGAAACCTTAACCGTAATTTTTTTAACTTTTAACCGCAACGGAAAGAAATTAACTGTAAGCCATAAAATGACCAAAATTTTAACCGTAAAGGCATCACCTAGCTTTAAGACTCTCTATCTAGATTTAAAATTGTTCATGGAAAATTTTTATTTCCTAAAACATGTTCTGTTTTCAAAAACCACTCAACTGTTAGGATCGATGTTGAAACGGAACGGCGATACTCAAAGAGACCAGCATAGAGGTAGAAATGTATTTAGGAAAGAAATTTATCGGCAAGATATAATTTTTAGAGCTAGAAGGAGATCTACAGGTGCTATTGGATTATTTCTTAACACTAGAGAAGAAACCTGCTTGAATTTTATTTATATTTCCCTTTCGCGAGATACTGGAATATCACAGGGTGTTTTTTTTTAGTCCAAAGCGAAATAGTGATATAAAGGAAATATGATCGATGTCTGTTGAGCTCATTTAACCATAGGACTTAATATTTGTACCACATTTTCATTTTCATGATTCCTTTCATGCTTGACCCTAACAACCATGAGTAGCAGTAGATTTACATGAATCGGTTGACTATGTAAACGCGTGAATTTTTTTTCGCAATCCATAAGCTGACAGCATGAAAATATTGGTAGCATGAACAAATTGTGATTTTATATTTCCTTAGAGGATTTTAGTTCAGATTTTGCGCGTAAAATATTCGTCAACATTTTTCAAGGGCTCCATTTGAAAGATAATTGCCTTCAGGGTAGATATAATAGGAATTTACATTTAAAATTGAAACATCAAAGAGTCTTTTGAAACAGCTGTTAAAATGGATGAAAACATCATCTCATATAATGATATATATCTACTACCACAGCAGATAACCTCAAGATGAATAACAGCAGTATGTCTACAGGGGTCCATATGCATATCAATGACAGATTGCCTGTTACACCCGTGGTTGTAACTCTTTCGTTTTTATCGCTTGGCACTGTGCTCGGAAACAGCTTGGTATTTACAGCGATCCTCATTAAGCCTGCACTTCACAGCGTCACATATCTGTCTGTGTTCAGTTTAGCGATCGCTGACTTCTTAGTAGGAATACTTGCCATGCCCAGTTACATCCTCAAAAAGTTTTCCATGGCAGAGTCTGTCGATATCATCATATGCGACGTATTCCGGTTTTCGTATTTTCTCACCGGATATGCCTCTATCCTGAGCCTTTCAGTCATCAGCGTTGAACGCCTGCTCGCCGTAAAGTGGCCGCTGAGATATGCAACCGTTGTCACACACGAACGAGTTATCACGGGCTTGTTACTCACTTGGTTTGACGCGATAGTAATATCACTGCTACCGTTTGTTCCATGGGAGTCAGATTCTCCTAATAAGGAGTGTAATTATGAACCTACACGCTGGTGGAGCATTATGGTCATTGTAACCAACGTTATATTGCCATTCGTAATCATAACAACTTGCTATAGCTATTTGTATCTCACTGCCAGGTCGCACATAAAGAAGATATTGAGTGACAGAAAGAGCCTGGGAGATACTGAAACCCGGAGACCGCGACAAACGAACGAACGTAAAGCAAGCACCACAATTTTAATTGTTATTGGAGTCTTTGTGGCCACTTGGTTCCCCTCATGCCTTTATTACTTCCTGTTAAAGACCTGTCCGCAATGTTTTTCAGATTCATTCAGAAGTAAACAGAGTATTTTAAATGCTTTCGTAAAAATGTTGACGTTTACATCGTCCTTTGCTAATCCTGTGATTTATTGCTGGAGAAGCCGGCATTTCAGAAGAGCTTTTTTTGAGATTTTGGCAAGACTGTCTAGGAAGTTTTCTACACTGCAAAGAAAGGATAGCAACAGCACTGAAGTTGGTCGCTACAGAAGAAACACAATAACCAGCATTGGTAAAACAGAGGCCTGTAATGTTTTCGTGTCTCAAATGGACGAAGGCAAATACATTCCAATTACCTTAGACAAACCTAAACCCAATTCGAGGAGAGATCACGAAGTGAAAGATGAACAACTTTGACACGTGCTTGTAATGAAGGAGAGCTGAAATAGACACAGATGTACAATAAAACTTTATATGTCAAAACAGAAGTTTTGAACAACGAAGCATTCAATGACATTAGTAAAAGTAGCTTTGAGTACACCTTGGTCAACGAGCAAATTCGACATAAATAGCAATCGCTTTGATGTAAACTGAATTGTGTGGACAACATGGATTGGATTAGATTTGTTTGGTTTTATCTTGAGGGTTGACATTTCCCTCAAGACATTTCAGAATTGATTTGAGATCTATTGGCAAACGGACCTAGCTATTCTTGAACGACGGTCTAAAATGACATAAATTATAGCAAATGGATCTCTTGAAGTAGATGCTAAAATCAGCATCATCATCATCATCATTATCACATCATAATCATCAAGAAATGTAAGTTAGAGTTGAGCAGTCTGGGGTATAAATATAATTCTGCATCCATCTAACGTATCTTATTATACATATATACATATATATATTTTAAGATACGTTTGATAGATGCCGAATTATATCTATACCAGACTTCTCAACTCTAACTTACATTTTTGATGATTATGATGTGATAATGAATATGATATTTGTTTCCCAACCATTTGACAATGCAGTAGCACATAAGGACTCCACTAAAAGACCTCCTGCTGGAAAAGGCTTCAGTTTATTTACCGTCTTTGCATGGTATCTTTTAATTCTATTTACACTAAAGTATTTTAGTATTTTTGCGCGAAGGTCTAAAAAATATACTTTCAGAGTCATTTTATTTAGTAACTATTTTTACGAACGAAAGTAATTGAGAAAGAATGGCAATTTAACAAAAATTTAAAATGTGATCAGGTGTGCTTCTGCCGAATTTTTTTTATAAAAGATCCTTAACAATTATTACTATTATTGGTATATCAGACAAGAAACCCATTCAAATGGACAATCTGTACAATACGAGTCCTGTAAAAGCGTTGTTATAACAACGCTTTTAGAAAGCTATGAACAGTTCTCACCCCGTCACAAATTTTGATGTTCACAATCCTCTAATTTGTCCAAAGATATAAAGTTCATATCGAGCCTAGAATTAATATTTTCTTCCTAAGTGATAAATCTCAAAATTATTTCATCATTCTGTTTGGACTTGCATTGAAACCGTACGAATAAATGTAACGCTGACAACTGACTCCAGAGCTTAAGACTGAAGCTCGAGAACAATATCATAAAGGTTATGTTTCCAATGACGACGGTAACGATCAAAACAGTAATCACAACAATAATCACAAACACGGTTATGATATTAATTTAGAGATTTCCATCACCTTGAAATACCACGAACTGCAACTTGCTAGCATGAAATGTTCAAATGTTCATTAGCTTAACCTGACACAATAAATTGACAATAGCTTCCAACTGCTGCGAAAATTTACAAAATATTTGTTCACGATAATTATCAGTTCTGAGGAGAGTAGTTTCCCAAATGCGAAGCTCTCGCTCCAAATGGAAGCTATCGTTTTTTCCTTTTTAGCGCCCAGGCAAAAAAACCACTACATACAGTTTGTAGTGTGGTTCTTCATCTGCAAGGGCCGAAAAACGCTTTAAGCCTTAAATGAAGACTTCGTTGTATCAAAAGTAAGGTTTGAAAATTGTAGAACATCACTAAGGGAATATCACTAGAAGTTCCCCACCTTTTGCTGGGGCAGATTCAGTCAAGTTCTTATTAAGGGAAATGCAGTAAATGATTACGATCGTTACGTAGCCTCTGGGAGTCTTACACAAACGTTGACCATTCAAAGATCCTACACTTGAAAAAATAAAAAAACCCATACCAAGTCTAGTGCACGTTTGTTCGTCTTTATAAAGACACGCGCATCTTAGAACTAACAAACCGCTCTTTAATTGCCGCGAGATTTATTCACAGTCGCGATGGAGAAACTATGATGAGTGCACTGCACTGTCCTCCTAAGCTGGAACTACACATAACCGTTTCTAATGCAAAGCCGGATATCGCCTGGTTATGTCATACTTATCTGAAATACCGATAACTTTCATTTTTAATTCTAATAGTTTAATTCTGTTGTAATCTCTTTCAAATTTGAGCCTCACCAATTGGTAAAGTATACCATGCATCTTCGGCCTTGGTATTCAACCATTTTGACTCGAACAATTCTCTAAAATCCTTCCCATTCTTCAATGTCACTTCTAATAATTTCTCCAAAGCTTAGAGTAAAGAGTCCATGGATACAGGAGTACCGCTGACCAAGGTTATTGTAGTAAACTGGGAGACACCGCGCTTGTCATGAGTCAAAGCGATCTTTCTTCTTAAAAATGTCCGCCATTTTTGGTCGCTGTGCATCTTTTAATCGATGGAATCCACTTATAAACGTGCTTTTAATTTCTTGTCCTATTTTGCTACTGGAAGGAAGGCTTGGAAAAAGGAAAAAAAGATTCACATTTAGGAAACGAGCAAAAAAACAAACAAAAAAAGAATGAAATTCAATCGATATTCAAAGCAGATAATTACTGTGAAAGTGATTTCTGGTCTGCCTTAACCTCGCATTCTCTGAGAAGCACATGAACAGTTTCCTGTTAAAAAAACAAAACAATAGAAAAAGGAGCGATTACAAATAGCATTTGCCTCAAAAGGGTCATTTTGGAGCTACGCATTACAACAACCATATCGAAGAAAACTGCTTAATGCTAGTACTACAAGATTATAAGGCACAAGAAAGGTATTAATAAACAGAGGGGACACGGATTGGTAAGGATTGGGGAGATTTACATGGATTACAAATGACAAACTGAAAAATTGAAGCCAAATTTGTAACGATGGAATATCGTGACGTAAATATCTCATTGTCATTAAAACGTTTGAACAAAATGACCAGAAGTCATATTTGTTTACTTATTCAAGAAAAAAGATTTGGATTTAAGAGAGCTGCCTTCCACCAATATGGCCAATTTATTTTTAGGTTTTCAAACCACCGACATGGCCAATGTACCGTGAAGTTAACAAAATGTTATTAGGCCCAACCTCGCATTCTGGAGCCAAAGCCTCGATGTCCTGTTTAACCGCGCGGAGTCCTGGGATGATGTAATCATTTAACACATCAATAGAGATGACAAAGAATGGTTAAGGAAAAAAGTCCACAACAAATTATTTCGATATCTCTCCGCTTAAAATGCCTCGACTAGACGAAAATAAGATGAATAGGGGTAAAAAATAATGACAAAATAGTAATTTAAGTGCGTTGAGTATAAGATAAGCAGTGTAAACAGTCTAAGATAACTCTGACTAAAAAAGAGAACAGATGCAGTGAATTTCATCGCGCTCGCGCCAAATGTTCAATGATCGAGCTCAAAATTGACCATCTTGTGCAACCTTAGAACACATTTGACGCTTTCGACGAAGAAGTTTTGCGGATAAAAACGCCGCACGAAACTCTAAGAGCGAGGCGCAATCTAGCATGGAAAAATCTAGAACTCTAACCATAGTCAGCTCCTTGCACTTAGTTCATCGTTTACATGAATTAGAAGGATGAGCTTGACGACAACTATTGGCATATGCAGAGAAATAAAATGAAGTTGTGGACTCGTGACCAACTTCAAATAATAACCCAGAATACATGACGGAAAGATGGAACTAATCGACCGAAAAATTCTAATAAAAGTTTCTCTAATGTAATGAAAAGGATACAACAACACGTCAAAGACACGTAAGCTTCCATTAGCTCCAGCGCAATCTCCCTCCGTCTCGTGTCGTCTTGCGATTGGTTATTGATTGTTGCCATGACAACCAGTCGCGGTAAGAGAACTGGTGAACAAATAACATTGTAATTAGCTACATACTCTGGATAGAACTGTAGTGTGTTTCCCAAAAGTGGAATTTTCGTGCTTAGAAATAATTTGTTTCTGTGAAATGGACGCGTGAAAGGACACGGATTCAAAGTTTTGTCATCTTCCTCCTGGATTAAAGATTTCTTTCATAATGGCTGGCATGACTACTATCCTATTATGAACATGCAGATGAACCTACTATGCCCTCATTATGGTGTGAAAATTCCATTGATTTTGAGCATGCTGACGGAACTAGGAAGGCTAATATATTTTACATGCATACAAAAGAATAAAAACATAGCCCGCTATTTATGAAAGAGGTCTGTCGCCTTCTTTTCTCTTTGACCTTGCAGATCATCTCACTGAATGGAATTGAATTTTAAAGGTTAAATTCTAGCCTACCTTCATCTCTGAAATGTGGCTCTGCATGAGGGGCGACCTTGCCAAACGTTCTTATCATGGTAGCCTGTAGTTCATGTTGATCTTTGTATTGTGGGTCTTCAAGAAACGACTGGAACTGTACATAAACTTTTTCTAAAATCTGTAGACGTAAATTAAAAAAATCCAGATTAAAGACCGTAAGACAGTAAACTCCATGTTACAGGCCTGTACAGGCATTTATGACCCCCCCCCCCGCCCCTTCCGGGCACAATTAACTGTTGAGGACCCTTCCCTCTTTTAATCGTATCTCCAGTAAAAATACGCCATCCCTGGTTCCATTCGTTGTCTGGCAGAATCACATTCTGGGTGCTCACGATATTGGACGTGGTCTAGCTTTAATTTACAAGTTATTGCTTCACATAGGGCTTAACTCGGCGCATCTCTTTCTCTTGGGCTAAATTTTCGTAGAAAAATTGTAATAAGTACGGGTATGAGCATAAAATAACAACAGATTACATCTATATCTACCATTTTATCGGTGACATTTTCTACTATTGCACCGAACGCCGGAATTGCCGCCGTTCTAACTGACCTGAACAAAAAATAATAAAAAAAACTAATCAATATTTCAGCACAAATAAGAGGAAAAAAGTGAAAAATATGTTGATAACACGCCTTTTAACTTACATTTGTGAATCTGAAGCTAAAGTTACTAGAGCTGGTAAAACCTTTCTACTGATTAGATCCAGGTCAACACCTTTCATTAACACCTGCAAAGGGTGAAAGATACGACGGCATCTTACACTCAGTAGATTTAACTTTTTAAATTTTTTTTTTAAAATGATAAACTAGTGAGCAGCTCTGCACAAACTAAAGTAGTAAAAACTTGTTTTAATCTCCTACGCGTTTCGTCTGACAATAGCAGACTTCATAAGATAGTTTTTACAAGTTGGGCAAATAAGCTTGCTTATGTACAGGAACAGTTATAATAAAATGTCGATTTTCGACTTCAACGCATAGAGAGAAGCAAGCGGAAAGCATTCGCAAAGTATGACTGAGGTGTTGTACATGCACGACATTTTTCGGACGTTACACGTACATGTACATGTACATGTACGAGTAGGTGAATAGTTTTGTTTGCTAGTCCAGACAACACCGTGAAGGAAAAATTATGGTCTAACATTGCTTCCTGTCATTAGCATTAGATTCTGACACGTCATATTTATGCAGCCAGGTTACTGAGTTGTTTTCAGAATGACGGTGTCGGTAGTCAATAGTTTGTACCATTTACGGTAAGTAGAAAATTGTTAACACTTCTAAATGAAGGGATTTGAAACGATAAGGGTCTCTGGAGCATAGAGTGAATTTCATGCAAGCTATATTTTCAACGTTAGACGAATCATTACATAATATATATTTGAGTGAGTTAACTTACAGTAAATAAAGGAGCCGCACAGCAGCGTACTAAGGAACTGGAATGGACAACTATCTCCCAAAGAACACCTATTAGTACCTCAAGATAGCGGGATGAAGTACTAAAACAAGAACATCAAACGAAATCAGTGGTAACAATACTAATACTTTAAGCTGTGACAGCGTATTTCTGATGCGAAAGTGTAATCAGCATTAGAGAGCAAAGACATTCAAAGATTAATCGACACATTAATTTTTTTATAAACATTTTTGGGTGATCCTGTCATAAATCACTGATGGAATTGTGAAATAAAATTCTGAATCATCTGACGTTCAAAGCAAGTTTTTGCTCGAAGAAGACAGGAAAATTGGTTTGGCAAGACTGAAAAACACTAAAGAGGCCTTATAATAGCATGTGTGGCTAAGAATTTCAAACGTATGGCGAATAACAACATGGAAAAGTTTGGTCGAGAAATGGACGAGAGCAAATGAGCCAATCGTGTCTCGCCATTGTAACAGGGGTCCGTGAATCAGCTGTCACTCACCTCAACTCCTGGTACATGATGATTGGTCCTTCGAGTGATGCCGAGGCTTCAGCCAGGGCAATTACCGAATTGCGTAATAATGACGTCAGTTCAGACATGTCGTCCTCCTGGTGAGACCAAGTAAGGTTGAATAAGAAAACGTCCAGTATGAGCTGATTTTATAATGTGAAAGTCCACGACTTCAGTAATAACGTACAGTCTGTTATAAGTCCTACAAGCGCTTACTCTTTCACCAACGGATTTGATAATTCAAAACCTACCGAGTCAAAACAACCCAGGACGCCAGCGGCCAGAACTGGAAGCGAGGCACTGGATAGGAGACTTTCTCTTCTTTCTAAAGACCACAAAAGGAAAAGGTTGAATTGAACCCTAGTGACAAATGAATTCAACATTACTTTCATCACTTCTATGATTATTTTTATAAATAGGCAGATTAGATGACCAGAAATCAATGATTTTACCAGTTATCATGAAACGCTGCGATAAGGCGTGAAGCGCTGACCTTGTTGGCGCAAAAGTCTGCCAAGGTGAGATTTTCAAATCGAGCAACTAAACTGTCCCATCCACTGCCCCACCCCCCTCCCAAAGAAAAATGGAAAAATAGAAAAACAAAAAAACCTGCTCGCAAGTGAGCTCTATCAAAGGACTAAACTATAAAACTTACCTTCGTCTAAAGAGAGAACATTTAATCTTTGCATACAAAATGGTTTTATCTGCAAACAAGAGTTATAGCAATTTTGACAAGGCAGTTGAAAGATACTATGGATGCATCTTATTGAAAAGAAAAATTAACAATATTATGAGGGGAATGGAAATTCTTTTATAAACATACACCTTGTGAAATGGACAGACTTTACTTAGCCGGACAAGCAGAAATTAATACTTACCCTTCCTGAAGAGCAACCTCTCCTTATCAATACAATTTATGGCTGCTAAATGGAAATATTTACTCAAATATTGAAAGTTTAAGGGATAAAGTTAAAAAATGGACGTGTATTTGAAAATGTAATGTTTTCCTCACCTTTTTGTCTGAGTATGGTTTCCCAAGTGTAATACACAAAGAGCGAAAGAGGGAAATCAACTGTTGTACACAATCAGTCAAAGATACATGAACTTTTCCTAGAAAAGATGAAGTGCAGTTTTTAAAGACACTCCTTTGATATGTGGCAAGAAAATAAGTAATCATATCTCCTAGTGTCTAAAGGTGTTACAAATGAACTCACCTACAATATCACACAGATTGGGTAAACTGTAAAAAGAAATGAAAAAAACCAAGGTTTTCAATAATCAACATGATCTTCAAAGAAAGAAGTGTGTATGTGTTTATATGCAGAAAGTGGAGCTACGCCATTGGTGGGAATATGGTGACAAGAAAACAAGAATAAATTAGTTGAATGAGAAGCGCTCGTTGATTCCGTGGGGATTAAGGGTGTCGATTTGGAAGATAAATTTTTGTTCTAGTGTTTTACGGCTTTCCGGAAAGCATATATTTCCACCAATGGCGTAGCTCCATTTTCTGCATATAAACCCACACACAACCCACAATTCCTCCAATCGCTCTGACGAAGGGCTAACGCTCGAAACGTCAGCTTTTTTACCCTTTACGGTGGCTAATTTACGTTTTCAACTCAGTTGTTAACACTAAATAACCTGCCATACTCTCCCACCGACGCAGCACCACAATTTCTTTAGAGACTTACCCCCTTAAACCAAATACGAGTTCCCACGTGGAATCGAACCACCGACTTTCGAATTTCTTTATCATTATATGGCAAGGCAGTCTTGAGGTAAATCCGAACGTCCTGGTTGGCTCTTACTTGGTTGGGATTTTGCCATACAGACCGTTTCCACGGCCGTATATTTTTGTTCTCGAAAGCCGGCAAATTCAAAATAAACAGGTTTGGTCTGAGTGCCATATAATAAATTACTTACTTGCCTCGCTTGCACAAGCCGAACTGGGAAATATTGGATATCGTTCGTTTCTGTATGGATTTCGCTGTGCTCGGTCCGTACTGCCAATACCTCGGACCAATATTCCCCAGTACGGCCCACGCGCTCGGTTAGTAAAAAGTTATTTCTGTGGCTTTACGTTTAAACAAAATACAGTGTGCACCAGAAATATTTCTGAAATATTACTGCGCCTAGTTGAAGTATCCAATCAAGCTATTCTTACCATTCGTACTGAATCCAGGTCAAACTATCCCATGAATCAAAGTGGTCCTCGGACACGTGCTTGTCAAATCGACGAACATGGAAGGCGACAGCCTGGTTCCCGCCAAAAATCGTCTCGATATCGGTCAGCGGCGATTGTGGTGTTAGCAATCTTCCTGGTGCAACTGGTTGAGAAAAATCAAGGGGTCATTTGTATTATTCAATTGATTTTAATTGATTTTGGTTATTTTTTTCTTCCTTTTTCATTAGCCTGCTTTTGCTTATGCGTGATATCGTCTAACAGCTATGTGTTTTGCCGTAAGTAGTGATAAAACTAATTCTTTGCTTAGGTGGAAATCGATGGTAAAAGAACGACCTAACCCAACCATCGCTCAATTTCGGGACTTGTAATTGCTTTAGAGATAAGTTTTTTCATCAGCGGGCTAATAACAAAACACGATATTTTGATCAACCTCATCAAATTATTATTATTATCATCGTGTGGTAAGGTAGTCGTAACGTAAACTCGAGCGTTCTGGTCGGTTCTTACTTGGTGCGTACTTTGCCATACGGACCACATCCACGGAAACAGTCACAAGCTGTGCACTTTAGGTCGCGAAAGCCGGCAAATTCAAATTAAATAAGTTTGGTCTCAGTACCATATAACAAACTCCTAATTATCCTCGATTGCTCGAGCCGTAGTGGAGAATATCAGTTTTTGGTCGCTGCACTCGGTTCGCACTGCCACGACCTAAGGCCAACATTCCCCAGTACGGCTCGGGCGCTCAGTTAGTAAGAAGTTAAAATTTAGTAACAGCACCTGGCACATTGTATCTTTCGACTTCTTCTGGCTTTTTGGAAAATGGCGCTGAGTTGGAGAAAAACAGAGCATTACAACTTAAAAAGTAAGAAAACAGCTGATAACAAGTGAAAAATGGTACAAATAACATGATAAAGGTTCAGAACGTGGACATAAAGTTTTAACTAAAATTTCAACCTTTCAGATTTCAGGTTGCCGCGCATGCGTTAAGTAAGAAAACACAGATGATGCAAAAATGGATAATTGGGAAGAACAGCTCCCCTCTACCGACTGTCGGCCAACTGTCGGCCGATAGATAACCGACAAGCCACCGACAGATAACCGTAAAGCCACCGACAGACAACCGACAAGTTACTAGTCGGCCATTACAAAATTAAAGAATGTCAAAGTTTGCTTTCATAACAAAGAGCAGAATTGCCAGTTATGTCTTTATTCATGCTGCCCAGGGGATCATAGGGAAAAACCAATCGCAAAAATTTGGAAAACCTAGAACTTACCTGTCCGTAGAACTGAGGCAAACAGCACCGGAATAAGCGATGAAATAACTTGAACAGAGCGTGCCAGTCTGTCGTGAATTGCTTCAAATGTTTTATGTACTTTCTCAGTATCCTCTGAGTCATTGGCAAGTTCGTGAACCTGCTCTAAATCCTACCAAATAGAGACCAATCAATGAGTTCAGTGAGGTCGCTCAATTGAAATGCTCACTAAGACCAAGTTTACACAGCATGGCGACAGAGTTATAGGTACTCCCTGTTCAGTGACAAGTCAAAAGGTCAAATCAAGTATTGTGTCCAAACACTTAAAAAGACACCGTACCTTTAAGGCATTTTCCACTATGGAGATTAGGGAGGTGAAGAGATGAGACTCTACTTTATCAAGATCTTGAGCCCATGCGGCAAATGACGGTAGAAACACTTCTCTGGAAGTCTTCGCTACTTTTTCTGACGGATCAAACAACGTTTCCTCTAACAACTCGTAGGCCTGAGAGGAAAAAGTTGCACAATATCTGAATCATTCCACTGTTAAAGAGAAACGCTGCATGTTGACAAGCTAAGGACGAAGAAACATCCTGAGTTCCCAAAGGGAATTCAAGTCGGCCGGAAGGTTCAAATTGCTACGTACGGAGCTGCAGAGAACTAGCTTAAAGAATCAAGCCGGGTTGCTAAGCATGCTAAGCTGTATATGGGACATGAGAGGTGTTAATAAGCTAAAGTTGCATTCCTGCTCCTGGTTTTGCAGTTATTTACAAATTTTGCTTCTCCTTTATTGTCTTTGAGTTCATTCGCCGTCCACACATTATTTTCTTGATTAATATTTCTTTACTATACGTTTTGAGAACGTTTTGAGCTCGTTTTCGCGGGCTCTTTCACCTTCATTTTTATCGATGGTCCAAAAGTCCAAGGTAACTCAATATTCTAATACGTTCTCCTTTCTCGTGTCCTTACCTGTTGATATTTATCCACATTTTCCATAAACGCCACGACAAGTCCCAGACTCTTTGTTACGGCCTCTCGAACAGCCTCGTTTCGATCATCGCTCAGCATTTGTTTCAACATGGACCACACGAGAGAGCTACGAATGTAATCCTGAAAGAAAAAAAAAATAAAGAAACAGGTGTAATGCGTGATCATAAATTGACCCACTAGGCCTCGTTCATGCTAAATTCCGTCGAGCCTTTGGTATAAAAATACCCACTTTTCATTAGGACATTCCCTTTATCTCTGGGCTCTAAGGTTAATGTTGATAAAATTCACTATCTACTCCTTAAAGGGACGTTTTAAGTGGGAGACATTGTGTTCTTCCGATTGGACCCAACAACCTTATCCTAAAAATACATCATATAACGAAAAAGAGTGAGCAAATTCGAAATCGCCCTTGGAAACTTCCAAATGTTCAACGTAGGCATTGAAATAAAAGTGAAACGAAATGCTTGCATTTCCTAACGAGTTCAGTAAGTTATTTACCGGTAAATACGGCGCTAATCCACCACAAGCTTCAGCAACAAGGAGTCTTCTTTCAACATACTTGTGGCCAATCTGCAATGCAGCGTAGAAAATGTGAACGTTAATCATATTCTTTCCACCGTGACAACACACAGGCGAGTCTCTGTGTCTATATATAGTTCAAGCGCACTGTACCTGTTCCCACCATTGTGGTAAAAGTTCAGCCTCTATTCGAGTTGGTCCCACGACCTGCGCAAACGCAGCACACCCGCTCATAATCATCTGCCTAATTGGGTAAATAATTCAACTTATAACAAAGCAGTGATGAAGAAAATGAAAAAGGCGAACAAACAAAAATCGAAGACTACCAGAAATCTTTGCTTGTCTCTCTAACGATTACGTGTCTTGAAAATTAAAAGCAGCGCAAGGAGAAATCTAAAGCGGAGGACCGTTCTGCCAAGAAAGGCTACACTCCCGGCTCCGAGGAGGACATGTGTACATGCAGTGTGTCACTTTCCTTTTTTACAACGAATACGCCATTTTAAAAGTAATAGAATATTCTACTTGAGTTTTCATCTCCGAGAAACACAACAGTGGTTTGTGTATCTAAAGAACGCTTTTTGACCCACCTCTGATCTTCGTCTGGTCGTTTAATAAGATTAAATAACATGTGAAGAAGATTATCTCTTTCCTTCACAGCTGGATGGTGAATGGCTGAACAAAGAATTACAGGAATCAATTCCTACAATAAAACGAAAGGAAAGTCAGTGTTCTGTAAGACAAAAGATATATAATTCAGGTTTTGTATTGCAATCAGTGTGAATCTTGTCCATCCTTGGCCACGCTGTTCCTTCTTAGCTTATTGTTTTATGTTTTACTGTTTTTCTATCGTACCACGCGAATATTTTGTCGTTTCCTTCAAGTTGAAGGTTGTTGTTTTGAGGAAAAAATAACCGAAGTAATTTATTCAAAGTACTTTTGCTGATAGAAACTCTTCTATTACTTATGACTAAATTTCAAGTACAATTTGCGCATGCAGTGATTACACTTGACACAAACTATAAATATTAACAATTCTCCAAACCAAACTGTTCCATTAAGCACCCCTCACTCCTCAACCGCTGTTCAGCACATCAGAGAAAAAGCTAGCCATTAGCATAGTTGGACAACAAGCCTACTTTTAGCACTCACCTCTCTTTTGTTCAGCAACACGTTTGGTACAATATGAGGCAAACATCTCGCAACAATTAGAACCACATTTTCATCAGCGTTGGAAAGCTTACAGACCTACATATCAAAAGACACAAGTCAATAGCGCTCATCCCCTCTAAACGTCCTTGATCCCTAGCTCTCTCATCTTCCAGCTCCATGTTGCTCCATGAAGCAGAAAGGATGGAAACCCTGAAAACGAAGATGCCTATCCAAAACGTTAAGTTCGGTTGAATGTTTCGAACCTCGTGGCCTTTTCACCGCCGGTGTTGATATCGCTCTATGTGGCTTGAAGCAACAAGATCAGATCCTAGTCAATCGCAGGTATCTCCCCCACCCTCTCACATTGCATTTTTCCCCGGCACCTACATGAACACCTAAGTAATTAAAGATACTAAAAGAGTTAAGTGCCTTGCCTATCAACAGAACTCACTGAAGCGCTCACGGCTCAAACCAGACCGTCCAATGCGGATTCAGCTTGCTAACCACTACGTCTCTCTCAAGAAATGCCAGCAAGTTACCTTTACTGTCTTTCAAGCCCGCAAAAGTTTGCAGTTCACCTACCTCATTAGAAAGTCTATTCTCTAACTGCACATGCGTGAAAGTCAACAGCGTGTCTCTAAATAAAGATGAAGTTGTTCTGAAAGGAAAAGTGAATCTAAGTTACAAGCTTTGTACACTCTAAAGCAAGCTTCAGATATGGTGTTTCCTGCTCGTTTCTCAGAACCGCCCTTATTTTCACCGAGTGTAAAAAAGCTTCTAACTACGTAGGCCATCTGAACATCCGCGGCGAGTTTGGTCTCTGGAGAAAAAAAAAACGGCATGCAGGATCAAGAAACGCGATAACTGCTTTGGAACCCACATTCTCTTCCTAAATACGCGCCGAATCTCTATTTACTTGTAGAAAAAAATGGTCCTCGTTCTCATTTCAAGGAAATGTGTAACGCCACAAAATTAAGTGACTAAAAATAAAGCTCCTTTAAAATGGAAACCGGGATAATCTGTCGTCTGTTCTGTTCACTGTGAAAAATTTCACCCTCCGTACCTTGATGAAGTTTGATCTTTCTCTTCGTTGCTGCTTGGCTGTGATGATGGAGAGAAAGTTCTGACTTGAGGGTCATCACTCTAATCACAAACGAAAACAGCAAGAACAAGTTTGAAAATACAGTATCAACGAAACTTCTACTGAGGAAGTTAACAATTCAAAGAAAATAAAGTACACTTTTTTTGAAATTCAAGTCCATCTTTTTTTCTATAAAGAAAATTCAAGCCAGATCACTCTACGCTGTACAATTGCGTTTTTTTGATGGAGGGTGGTAAAACCACACCCAAAGTAACCCGAACTCACGTGAAAACAAGCCAACTGCCTAAAGCGCGGGAAAGGCGGGTGACCAAGTCGCGCTTGGTCTAAGTTTTGGATCTGATTGGTCGAGATGATCGGGCCAGTTTTCTCGACCATTCACAGAATGAAATAACGCAATCTTGGATTGTCTCCGAAACAATTGGAAATCGCTCTAACGACGAGGTATCCAGTTACCTCGCCACCAAGCAGACTCGCCACCAGCGAACTCGCCACCAAGGAACGATCTCGCTACCAACGTACTCGCCACCAAGCGAAGTCTTCTCGCCACCAACCACCAATAAAGAGATTAGTCGAGGAGAGTAGGATGTTCGGCTGATAAGTTTGTTCGCTTGTCTGTACTCAAACTTTATAAACGTATGTTGTCGAAAGCACGTTCGAAACCGATAAGTTTGTTCGCTTGTCTGTACTCAAACTTTATAAATGTATGTTGTCGATAGCACGTTCGAAACCGAAGTTTTTATTCCTCGCATCGAGTTTTGCAATTTCTCCTCGCTTACGTGCAAAAGACAAACGCGATACGTTTTGATGTCAATGAGTTAGGAACGGAACACATCTAACACGTCGCTGAAGGTCATAATTTAAATACAGACAAGCGCACAAACGTTCGGCCGATTTGAATTGTGCTCGTTCGAACATCCTACTCTCCTCGACTACTTTATTCTAGCTTATCTCTTTATTGGTGGTTGGTGGCGAGAAGACTTCGCTTGGTGGCGAGATCGTTCCTTGGTGGCGAGTTCGCTGGTGGCGAGTCTCCCTGGTGGCGAGGTAACCGGTAACCAACGACGAAAATGACTAATCATGTTGTACATTAGACTGATAAACAACGTTTTACTGTCGTTTGTCTAAGTTACTAAAATTGTAGCGATGTAAACGCCCTCTCTTTCCATGCGCGACAAGGCCAAACAACAGGCTGCAAAGGAGACTAAGAACCACCTAATGGACTAATTTGTGTAATTTTACCTTTTGTTGTGTCAGTTCCACATCGGCTGTATTTCGTTGATGACTACCATCGTCAGGTAAATTTTCTTCGGGATCTTTACTACCCAATTCTTCACTAGTCTGAAGTTTCTCTGCAGCGTCTCCATTTCCTTCCTCATTTGGTACATTGCCTCTTTCACTAATCTCCACAGCATCATTGTTCTCCGTACCATCAGTGGCGTCCTCATTCTTTGTTGTTGATTCGCTGATGTGTTCTGCTGTGACACCATCTGTATCTGTCTCTGATGATTCAATGCTTTTCTCTACGCTCAGCGAGGCCCTTTCAGTCAAATGTGATGAGTTGACAATCTCCTTTATTTCACTATCAACAAGAAAACAATTGAAAAATGATTATTGTTTTTATTGATGTGGTTTTGACACATTTCCATCTAAAAACATTTTTAATCATGCTGGGGTAAAAGCCGTCTTATTTGACTTTTGATTTTTGCAAAGGTACCCATAGAGAAGCAACTAAAAAGACAAAAGATACTTTGGTACTAAAACCAAAATTCAATTCAAATGAAAAATCAACTTCAATTCAGGAAACTTGTCTCCCTATTTGGCTATTGTCACAATCTACCTTTCCAATTTTTCAACTGTTTCATTCAATGTATGGTTCTCATATTTCAACTCTCCTATTCCCTCCTGAAGCTGTTTGCACTCCTCTTGTAACTTGGCATATTCTGCCTCCAAGTTTGCTTTCTCTTCTTTCACTGATTTCAACACCAGCATCACTTCGGGTACAGTGTGATGTCCATAGTCTCTGTAAAGATGCAGCAGGTCTGGAGGCTTGGCAGTGTTCAAACCCACATCATCCCAGTCATCAAAGTCCTGAGGAAAAAAAACAATATAAATTATAAAAAAAAGTATTTATTGCCTCCTGGTCTTGACACTTGAAAGGTTAAATTTGTTTTATTAGCACAGGCTGAAAATCTAATTGAAAATGGCAAAATTCTAATTCTGGTCTCTCAAGAGGTATATATCTGTAATAATCATTGTATTTATGTACATATAAAGAGCTCAAGCGAATTCTTTGACAATCTTCACTCAGCCTGAGAGATAGACACCCAGGGTATGGTGTTTTCTGAGTAGTATCACTGATAATGTATGGTTACTATAGGATTAATTCACCACAAATAATTCATGATTATAGGTCAATTTATTCAAATCACCTGATCAGCATTCTCATCTGAGAAAGTTACAGAGGTCATTCTGTAGCCATTCTTTAGTAAGTATTCATTCACTAAGAAATTCAGGGCTCGCTTCTCATGTGGTCTCAAGGAGTCCTGATAAATTAATAAAAAATAAATACCTTTAATGATATCAACATAGCCAAAAACATATTCACTTTTAATTAAAAGATTGCTATTGCATGCAAAATATTACTTTACTACTGATGTTAATAGCCATATATTTCAGTGATAGAGCATCTAGGCATGATATCTGAAGGTCAGAGGTTTGATTGAAACTGAAGATGGATCCCTTTCAATATCAGCCTCTGACACAATTCAGATTTGAAACACCTCTTACAACTTCCTTACCCCTCCAGATGAATGATCTCTGTCAATATTCTCTCCATGACTACTTTCAGAAGCTGGAGTTTCAGTTTCTAGAATAAAATGACAGACTCACAATTTATATCTGACTAAAGGTGAATCAAAACATGATTAGCATTACAATATGAAATTTTCCTGCACTCAGGAAGTCTATTCTGAAAAATTTAATTCAATCGTAGTTTAAAATCTGTGGCTGCTGAGACAGGACATGATGTCCATTGGAATGAACAGGGCAGAAACTAAAACTGCCTGCTCAACTGAACAACATCATGTACAGCTGAAGTTCTACTTGGAATAGCAAGTAAACATGTGATAGCTTCAAGCTCCTATTACTCATGTACTGAGTTTCATAGGACTTGATGCCTCCAGCCACTCTCTTTCCTGAAGGGCATTTGCTTCATGAAATAGGGATAAGACATTTACCCCTTATATCATATTGTGATTTTCAATAAATGTAAATCTTGACAAAAAATTACCAGTTGCTTCAGTCAAAGATCCCCTCAGTGCTTTAATAGTCTCATGAGCTTTCCTCAATTCAAATTCTAAGACTTGAAATACAAAATAAGAATATGTTACATATTTTTTATAAAGCCAGAATATGCAGTTTAAAGATACCAAGAACCTGAATCACAGGCATTTTCCACACTGCAAAAATTCCTATGCCTTCAGCTCAATATTGGATAGAGGGCCAAGGAGAAAGATCCCCCTAAGAGCTACAAGTCTTTTTTTCTGAAACTGGAATTCTGAACCATTGATAAATTGAAGTTTATATCACTAAACTTTACCATTCCAAAATTTGACTATATTCTGATCCACAAACCTGCAACCTTTTCATCTGTGTCTCGGGCACCATCGTCTGAATAACGAGCATAATCATCCAGTGAATCAATGGTTGCAATACTAGATGTGCGAGCTGGAAAACAATAATAAAATAGAGTATAGCATCATGTATCTAAATGCCAACAACTGATCATAATAATACAGAAGAGCAACATTGAAATCAATAGTGATAATATTTCAGGAGAGAGCCCATAAACCAGGCCGTCTTCGGTGAAACTCCCAAAATCATGTTGATGTTCAGTTATTTGAAGAGAAAAACAATTATAGCGATAATTAAAAAAAGGGAAATTTGTGTGTACCTTTTTGTGTCTCCCATAGAAAAATCAATTTATTTTTCATTAGGCTGTTTATTCAAAAACAATATCATCAATGCGAACAGCACAGAAGATGCTCGATATTGCAGAAGCGGTCATTAAACTTGATTTCCGGTTAAAATTATATGGGCTGAAGAATTGTTATAAGTTTTAATTACGACAATCACTCTATCTTATTAGTGTATTTGCAAATAAAACAAACAAAAATAGCATTTAAGCCATGTTAATTCTTATTTTGTTTTTCTTTTATGAAAAGAGGTGAACAAAATACTTACGTATAACTGGCGAGTGTGCGCTACCGCTTAGTGTTGTCGTCTGGTATTGACGTTCGAAATTCCCAGGATTGGAGAAGAAATCACGTAAACGAGGAATCTCCAGACCTGCTTCAACTAATTCCGTGTGCAGCTCAAGTGCAGTCAACAGTAACTGATGCGTCAGGAGTTTTTCGGCGAATATGTCAAAATCGCTCGCGGATAAACGAGGCGGAGTTACTTCAGTTTCCTCCTCCGCATCCGCCATCTTGTCGAGAAGTTTCCTAGAAGCGTGGTTACTAAGAGACAATTTTGAGCCTGCAGAGCATACTAGACATCGGCTTCTCACTGGATAATTATGCGCAACGCAACGTAAACAAGAACTTTTTTATTTTCTAGGGCCGAAATGACGTGATAGCAATTTTGCAAAAGATTTTGCAAGAAACGCCTCGAATTCTGTTGTTATCGAGGTAGAAAAGAGCTCTTAAACTTTTGAGAAGCATAATCATGTTGGATCTCGAAGTCGTTCCGGAAAGATCCTTGGGAAATGAGCAGTGGGAGTTTATACTTGGTAATGTTAATGTTTGCAATGCAGTTTGTACATCATAAGCGCTTTCCCGCCTATCACGAAATTTATTGCCTTTTAGCCTATTCATCTTAGATTTAAATCTTACCTTCTGATGCTTTCGTATTCATTTTGATCATTTTAAGGAATGCCTGTCGCACAATGTGTGCAAATCCTGAAGCGGCAATGTCGTCTGATCAAATCGGTACAAGCTATGTACAGTGAGGCGGTGAGTGTCTGGATTGTGTTTGACTGTGTAACGCATAAACTCTCTTTTCTTGCATATACTTGGTTTTAACGACGTTATAATTATTCTGGAACTTACATGTGGGATAATCTTTCGTCGTGGCTGGACAGAGTATCGACTTTTTGCCATGACACTTACTTTGATTGTCATTAATATGTACATGTCTGGACAGGATGAAACTTAATTGTTTTAAATATTTCGCTTCTTCTTCGTTGTGTAATAGAACCCCTTGGCAATGGATCTGGTCTTAAACCTGCCCAATGATGGAGTTAGACTGGTCTTTGATCCTGTTACACAGAGACTTAAGGTACAGACCAATCAATTATATACTCTTAAAAATAATAATAATTGCTTTCAATTGATGATATCCCACTGGAAAATTTAGCTTCTGAATTGTACTAATTTAATATATTTATTTATTTATTTATTTATCTATAGATAATTGAAGTTTACAGTATGAACAAGGTCAAGTTGAAATACTGGTAAGATTTGGTTTGCTTGTTTGTTTACTCGTTGATAATTGTTGTTGTTGTTTACTAGTCAATAAGTGTTGTTGTTGTAAATATATCCTCAGGGGATTATTGTGTATTTCTTTCTGCTTTTTATCAAATTTCACAATATATCAAGTCAGGTTATGATGGACAATACTCTTAAAGGCTGAATTTTTTTTTTTTTTTTCATTTCAGTGGAGTGCACTTCAACTCTCCTCAAGTTCAGCCAACAATTGAACAAATTGACATGTCATTTGGAGCAACACATCCTGGAGGTTTGAAAATTTCTCCTATAACTTCTTTCACATTTGAAAAGCAATCTAGTGGAAGTGAAGTATCAGTTTATAAGTAATTATTCAAAGGCAGTTAAATACAGCATATGAGCTGTCATTGTTCATGCTCATATCTGCTTAATTACAAACCATTTTTTTGATTGATGGCAAGATCTGTTTACATCTCATTTGGTTAACCTTTTGATGCAAAAGAGTGACTTGCATCTAATTTCTTTTTACAATATCACCCCTGAATCACATTAAGGTTGCAAGAATAAAGGAAATGATCTCTGACTAAAGAAGCTCTTGATGGTTGAATAAATTCTCCTCATCAGCAACTTAGGAAATGTACTAATAGTGCTACAGAGAGCATGCAAACTGATGTTAGGGTGTAAGGGTTTAAAAGGGAATTGTTTTTTTTTTTCAGTCTATGATCCCACCCATCAGCTGTTTATTCTGACCTTCAGAGGTCTCTCTTTCTCTTTTCCAATTGACTCAAAGTTTGAGGTAAGTGTTTCAGTCTGTGCTTAAAATAACTGGTTAAAGACTGATTTTGTGCATTGTATTTACTAATTAGCCTTAAGTTTGTGAATTTTCTAACAGAAAACAGAATTTTGATTCTGACCTGTAGGATCAAAATTTGTCTTTTAACCCTTTAACTCCCAAAAGTGATAAACATATGACCTCTCCTTTATAAAAGTGATTAACATGTAACCTTTTCCCATAATATCCCAATATTGCATTTCTTGTGTTCTGATTGGCTCACTCAACTGTGGTTATCAGCTCATATTCTAAGTCACCTTTTATGGCATTGCAACATGTTGGAAGCTGAAAATTTTTGCTGGAAATATTAAAAAATTCAGGAATTAAAGAAATTTGATGTCACAATTACTCCATTTGCACTTGTAGGATATGAGATTGGTTATAGCTAACTGGTAGCTACACGTCTCATTGGCTATTTACCTTCTCATATCAAATGTGCACTCATTGAATAATTGTTAATTATCCAACAAGCAGAGAATGAGAATACTCAAACTTTGTCAGGTAGAAGTTGCTGTCTTTATCTAACACCACACTCTCGTAACCTATGTACAAGAAAATGTCCAACAGCTAGATGGGAGAATTAAAAATCAGATCTTGGGGGATAAAAGGATCAGGATGGTGTATTGATGTATTTTCTTTAGCTTTTCTTTTAACTGCCTGTTAGTATAGACCAGCTGAATTCAACTACAGTTATAGGACACTTGTTTACAGTAGTGGCACACTATTTTTATCTCTCCACAGCCATATTACACTCATGGATTAGGCTCTCTCAAGTTCTCATCTGGTTCCTCACCAGTTGTGTCACGCATGTCAATTTACCATGGAAACAACTTGACAGATGCCAAGTAAGGAAGCAGTCATGGTGTATCTATAAGTTTTTCATTTATTAATTTTTTTAACAAGAGAGCCCAAAAAGTTTGCAGGAATGAAATATGCAACATACTGTTTCACTCTATGATCATTGTTTTGCAGGGCACCACCCCTTCCCCTCCAGTGTTTTCATGGCAACTGTTTTGCAGAGAGTGTTGAAATCATAAACCAGGATGGTAAAGTCCTGGGTCTTAAATGTTTCCTTGTGGCAGAAGGTAAGGCCAAAGACAACAGTATCAGGAGGACTCAGTCAGCCCCCACCATCTAGTTCCTAAAGGTTAATAACCCTTTACACCCTAACATCAGTATGTATGGTGATCATCTTCCTTCTTCTTATGACATTGATGTTTGATCCAATGGTAATATTGTGATATTCACTACTAATGGTTAAATTAACTAAACCCCCATTATTTAACCCCCATTTGTAATTGATCAAATCATATAAAAAACCATAACATAAATGTCTGGGAGGCTGGCCAAATGCCAAAACACATTAATAAACCAAATAGGGACAAGAATGGTTAAAGGATTAGATAAAATTAACACATATTACATTTGCCAACCCTAAAAGATTTAGACAATGGCTTTTATTCTAGGGGGTGGGTAGGGGAGATCTAAAAAATTTGACATGCATGAACTACTATCAGTAACATCCACCATCCACTTATCAACTGTTTCCTTTGTTTAAGGTCCTGGTCCTGGTAAGATCTTAGAGCTACGGCGAAGAACCTTTGAAAGGAATGTGATGTTTGGAGATTCATGTCAGGTTAGAATTTGGAGCTTTGGTTGTTTTACATCACAAATAATTTTCTAATGATTGTGCTGAATTTTAAACTGGAGGCTTATCATGGCTCAGTGAGTCATCATCCTGCAGCTGATGCTTAATTTATGCCAAGGCTTGTTATTGAGACCATGACTTGTTGTTTTTTTAGGATGTTTTAAGCTCACTTGGATCTCCATGCAAAGTGTTTTACAAAGCTGAAGATAAGGTCAGTTGATTTGAGAAAGTTGAGCACAATACGATTGAAGTGAAGATGGAAAAGCCCTCTCCCCTCCCCCCCACCCCCATTCTTTTAAAAACTGGGTCCTGTCCTTGAAGCTGTGTAAACAGTCACTTTTAAAAATTTATTTTTCTAAAGCCAATCTTCTTTTTTAGATGCGGATCCACTCTCCTTCTCCTCACAAGCTTGCCCAGTCCAAGAGTTCAGACTACTTCTTTAATTACTTCACTCTTGGAATTGTAAGTAACACAACTTAAGAGTAGAAGAATCATTGTATTTCAGTGACTTGTTGCTGTGTGGTTTACAGAAGAAGCTCTCAGTTAATCATGAACTGTTACTTTTTTCTTCATTTATCTGCTCTAGGACATCTTGTTTGATGCATACAGCCATCTGGTGAAGAAGTTTATTCTGCACACTAATTTTCCAGGACATTACAACTTTAACATGTAAGCACATTGTCTGTGAAAAGTAACAAATAATGTAGAGCTCTGGGCCCAGTTGTTCGAAGGCCCATAAGCACCAATCCGAAGTTAACCCTTTAACTCCCAAGATCTGATAGTCAATTCTCCCCTCTAGCTATTACATATTTCCTTTTAAATTTGTTACAACAACTTGGTGTTAGATCAAAACAACAACTTCTACTTGATATGTTTGAGTATTCTTATTACCTGTTGGCTGGACAATGTATGGATATTGTAGGGAGAAGTTAGATCTTAATCACTTCTAGGGGTTAAAGGGTTAAATTTTAATCTGGGTTTCTTTATTCCTTTTGTTTAGCCTTTTTGTGACAATTTTCTCTATTCTTTTTAGAGCATCCAATAATCATATTCTAGACAAAAAGAGTTATACTGAATTTTCTTTTAAAGCTTTCAGATCTGAAATCAGATTTTACACTAATCCTGGGTTATCTTAACCCAGCTTTGAACAACCCTGCCCTAGATAAGAAAGGAGACTTGCATCCACATACTTTCCACAATTTCTTTGTTCTTTGAGTTTAGTTGCCTCAAGTTGTTATTGCTTATTGTGTTTGTTGGGTTTTTTTTTTTACTTGATAAATGGTAATTTTGTAGTGTTTCTTGTGTTTTTCACGGACTGCCCTTTTACTGTCTTGAGTTACGTTTGTTTTATTGAAGGTATCAACGCTGTGAATTTAAGGTTGGAATTCACAGGGATTCCAAAGGTAACATGAATGCTTTCTAAGCTGGTAATTAATATTTGACATGTTAAATTTGGTGAAAACCACTGCAACTCTGCTCGCACGCTAAATCATTCGCCTATTACAGTGTCGTCAGAAGAATCTTGTTAATAACTCGTCAAAACCATAATATTTGCATCAAGTGCCAATAAGTATATTCAGTGGAAGTCTTCGTTAAAAATAAATGTAAGATGAAAAAGCGTTTTGATGCTGTTTCAGAAGAAGAGATAGACTTGGTTTTCTTTTTAACAAAGATGTACCAGTGAACGCTCAGTCTACGGGTATCCTACGGGTAAGAGGTTAGCAACTGTCTTATTCCGCGCCTTGCTAGAAATCATTGGAGAGATGATAAACACTATAACTCCTGACTTGGCGCGAAAATGTTCTATCATACTTTTCCTTGAAGTAAGCTTATAGTCAGCCGCTGGTAACAAAGATTGTTCCTATTTGTTGCGGTGTAGCTTGTGCTTACTCTGTTGTTATGTCTTGTTTAATATGGTGCTCTAATTTGCAGATTCTGATCTCGATGATGGAACCCCTTTTGTATTAACTTCGTGTACGAAGGTAAATATTGCTGCATTTATAAAAATGTCGTATCTTCTCTCGAAAAATAGAGAAGCCGGAGGAAAGGAAAGCCGGTCATTTTGCTCCATGGTTCATTGAGGGGGACATTGGTATTTTTGGTTTTGGCTATTTTTTAGATCGGTTTTTTCGGTTTTTGTGCCCAAAAACTTCGGTTTTTCGGTTTTGGTATTCATTGCGGTTTGAGAATTTTCCACCTCTTTGGTTTTCGGTTTTCGCGAAAAATACTAACGGGTTTTCGGATTTGACATCCGATGCGGTTTTTGGTTTTTCCTATTTGACCTATTTGGGTTCCGGTTTCTCTTCGATCTGGGCGGCAATTACGCGCCTCCAATGATCTCGAATAGCCGCTTAACGCAAATTTAGGTTTAGGAATTAACGAAACTCTTGACTTCTCGTCTGTAAAAGCTTACATAATGCTGACCGTTGGGACTTTTTTTATCTTGACTGGTTAAGGAAAGGCGTCCGGTCTTGCAATTTCCAGCCAGTTGTTTCTTCCCGCCGTATATTTTTCGGATGGTAGTACAATAGTGGACTAATGCAAGGCGAGTAATGAAGAGGAAATGTTTAAGTTTTCATTGTTGTCTTTCCTTTTCATCCAGTGGGACAGTGTTCAGGATTACCTGGGCAAACCAGTCGAGGCGCCTGTGGTACTCAATCGGTAGGTTCAAAGTTCAATTCGATTGTATTTGTAACTTTGTCACACGCCACATTGCTTGTTATGATGTCGGTATTGATGTTATTATCATCTTGTTTCTTTCGAAGATCTTCTTCCACCAACACCACCAACCCGTTTGGTTCAACTTTCTGCTACAACCTGCAACACATGATTTTCGAGGTTTGTTAGCAATGGTCTGACAAGGCATTTAATTCTTTATAATATTCAGTACTAAGTCAACTGATCCTTTCAATCTAAGTGGCCCTCGTCGGTGCGAATTATTCATCAATCGCACTGAATTTTGTTCAAAATCGCATCTTTCCTTGTTAAGGAGAATGGAGCATTAACATCAAAACAACCAATCAGAGATCACGCATATGACTTCAGACCAATTTGCGCTCCACTCAGTTTCAAAATCCCCTTTGTTTATTATAACCATAGTTGATAGATAAAAGGAATCAGTGTTAAGAGTTAACTTATAATGCACGAATCTTAAACTTCTTTTCACTTCTACGCGACACGTGAAATGAAAACTCGTTGGAGCAATATTTTTGCCAATGAAAGGATAGGCGATTCCATTTTTAAAATAAAAATACATTTGTATGAATACAGCATTATAGCTCCGGTGATTTGGTTTTCATGATTTATCGACATGTGAAGATCAATTTTTAATAAAAATCTTTTTGGCAACGTAATTGCATTTCAAGTGAATTTCGTTTCAGAAGCTCGCCTGGCAGCGACGACGAGGGCTCGGTATATAATGAAAATCTGTTCGCACTAATTGATCATATATAATTTCGTTAACTAATTTAGATTGTAAGACTTGTTCATTTGTTTTTATTTTCTTTTGTTTTGTCTTTCAGGTGATGGCCAACAACCATTTAGCATCAGTTACACTGTATCCCCATTGCAACAAGACAGACAATCATCTTATAACATAAACGTCCATTGAATTGGAGTGGTTAGGTGTGTGATTACGTGACTCAGGCTGGCTGGAGAAACATTGGACTAGAATGTTCTCAGCGGAGACACAAATGTCTCCTACCTTTGTTTGGGAAAGGGGTTTTGATATATTGTTAAGAGAGAAACCGCGTTCATTTGTTTCTTTTTTTTTTTTTTCTAAGAAAACCATTATTGGTTTTGAAGAAAATTTTTGACGCTGGGATAAACTTTGAGAAGTAAAAAGAGGGAAGCTTGAAACTTTCGTGTTACTGTATTCGATTGGTTACATTACTTGTTTTGCAGTAGCTAATTATATTATGACTGTTATTGCTTAACATTTTCAAAAATTATAACTAATTTATAGCCTTCCATTTTGTATATAATGATGTTAATACAACGAAGTGTGGTTAAATTGTGAAGTAACAATGTAATTTTATCAAACGAGATTATTGCATTTACAAATAAATGAATTTCATGAGAATGAAATTGGGTTTTGATAGTTAAAATGACTGTGCGCGACTTTTGTTGAAAAGAACTTGACAACATTTCAATTCACATTTCATAGCCCCCAACACCCCCCCCCCCCCCGAAAAAAAATACACACATATGTATATATATTATTATTGGGGCCAAAATCACTAGTACATGTCCAACGTACGAACAAAATTAACTGAAGTATTAAAGCGAAATGAACATTTGAACCGGTTGCTAAAATAGGATAATAGATCACAAGATTACTACAATTATACGTAAAGAAATCGAAAAGGAGAACACAAAATAAAGGAAAATAAAAGAAACAAACGTTGTACGAGATCCTGGCTGGTTAAAGACGATTTAAATGATGCAGAAAACGATGGCACAGTACAAGTTAAATGATAAAGGCGAATGAATAAAATTTACGGTAAAGAACTTACATATACACGAACAAACGAAAATTATGCGCAAAAAAGGTAACAATATCGATGAAAGAAATGTCCGTGAAAACAGATGAAGCGACAAAGGCAAAAATAAATGAAAAGAAACGCGAAATAGTTTTGGCGGCAACATGTCAAACATTATCAGGTCTTGTTTGAGCAATGGATGATAGGTGAATAATTGATAATTATAAGTGAAGTTTCTAGTGTAGGAAACCACAATCGTTTCAGACTTCGATGTAGATTTAAAACAATCCCTCATTCCCAACCCCTCTTTCTTTATGTGTTGATTCATTTATTGATGAAGGCAAGACAAAATCCCCAATATCTACGAAAGCTTTATCGTGACCGTAGGCAGAGATATAAGAATGCAGACGGTGCTAAGAACAACTCAGAAGGCAGGATTCTGTACCCTTTTGCAAAAGATATAGTGCAGTATTCGCTTACTACTGATGGTTTTACAGTATCATAGATTACATCATCACACGTTATCAGGTCAAAACCTTAAAAAGAGTCAATTGACGTATTGACAACAGAGGTCCTCTGAAATTTTACTGAGGGTAGAAGCTTTTAACTCCGATCTGATAATTCGCTATAGGAAGGCTCAAATTGAGACATCTTATTGATAATATTTAACGATGTCAGAAGTTCTTAATGAAAAAGAAAAGTAAACCAAAATTTATCTTAAATTTATTGTCGTCATGCTAAAATCGACAAGAGGCCCAGCAGGCGATAAGGCGAAAACACAGGTCTTCTCCATTTAAACAAGCTGCAAAAATTATCAACAAAAGTTTATTTTTTGTGTGAGAAACGGAAAACGAAGTAAAAAATTTATCATCACTTTGTCGACGGCTCTTCTCTTATTTAAACAAGCTGCGAATTTTATCAACAACAGAAGACTAATTCTTGTTGATTCGCTGTCGAATGATTCAACGGTGGTCAAATCAGATATCCTATTGGTTGTATTTCAAGAAATTAGTTTTCCTGTGTAAACAGGAAGGCGAAGTGTTAGAGGGAAACCCCCAGCAGGTGCGTTAGAGGACTTGACTCTGTGTTGAATTTTTGATGTAAGGACATCAAACAGTATAAATGGTTGAGAATATGAGAACAAAATTACGGGTGAAGAGTCGTCCTGACTTAGTTGGCAAGGAAGAAATATTTATGTCTTTCACATTTATAGTCTTGGTTTTTAGCCTTGTTTAATAAAGAGAAAGTACAAATAGAAAATAGTTGACATAGAGCATTCTGTCTTAATTCCGTTTGCTTCAGTCAATCAAAGCATCTTTCACTTGTCAGTCAGTTTTCAATATATTAAACTGGACATCCATCACATTTACTAAGATAAAGTAACTTAAGATCTCTGCGAGAGCTTTTTAGAGTTTTCCATGCAGATCCCCTCATTATTACAATTATCTTTAAAAGTTTAAGTTTAAAGTCATCGTTTCGCATTATGTTACCTACTATGGCCTTAAATTCTGTCAAACAATTATTACATGACTGTCTTCATAAATCCTCATGCAGGATCAGCCGTTTATTGTAATTGTTACTTGCTAAATTTCTTTGAATTTACCTCCTAATACAGTACTGGCTTTGGTTAAAAAAATTATTTTCATTTCCGATCAGTTATACGAGACCATAATCTTGAAGGCGAGACGACATTTAAAATCAATCATTTGAAATGTTCACCGTTACTATGCGTCAAATAAAACTAATTCATTATCGAGCTGTCTTTTCACTTTTATTTAGTTTGGCTAATTAAACAAACGAACCATATTTTTATTTAACCAAACGTCAGGCCTCGATACCTCTCACAGCGTTTGTAAAATTACTTTGAACCAGCCGTGATATGAGCTCGCTTGTATTTGTTAAGGTATTCCTCTTTTGCCATGTCTTCATGCCCGCAGTTTTTAGCTTTTCGAAATCCGCCATTGGGAGTATGGATCATGGATTTGGAAAACATGACGGAGGGACCCTTTTTATTGAACATGTTCACTTTGTTTTGGATGTAGAACCCGAAATATCTGTTTCAACGTACGATAAGATAATGTGTGCGTTTAAATGTCTGCATCAAAGCTTTTGCCTTTCGTTCAACTATGATGCTCGCTCGCCGGGAAACAACAGCTGTGAGTTACTCAGTAAAAACAAGTACACACTTTCTGAAAGATTTCAACCAAGTCAGTTTTTTAATCATTACAGCTTGATGGTAAGGATAAACGGTAGTTAGATTAAAGTAAGATGTGAAGGAAAGCATTTTATGAACTAGATTCGAATTGGCCTTCAGATGAAATATTTCAGCTTCATAGTGCCATCTGTAAGACCAAAACATTAATAGAACAGGCTAAAAAATAGTTCTCATTTCAGTTCAACCCAAAATATCAAAGATATAAACATTTTTCAAAGACGAGTCGTTTGCAAATGGTTTCATTTATTTACTTTTGTTGCATGACCTGTTATAGTACTCTTTGAAATCCTTCCGGTAGCAGTCCGTCATTCACCTTCTCTGAGTGCTACCTTAATTGTTTCAGAGCCCATGTGAAAACGATCCATGTAAAAAAGGAGCAAAGTGCAACCCACTATACGGATCTAACGGTTACTATTGCGAACGAAGTCCAGGGAGTATTGAGCAAGGTAAAATTAAAGTTTGTGTCTGGTACTGTTATTTTCATTTTTGCCGAGGCTGCATAGTATTGCGAGATTCATTAGTCTCGCAAGTGTAGGTCAGCGCCTCCAAGTCGAAATGATTTAAAACCCCCAGCTATGGAGCTAAAATCGGGATATGCCTCTTAAGAAAAACATTAGTTTGCATTTAATTCTCACGGTTCCTATTTAAAATGAAGACTTGAAATATGTGTACGATAAAGAAAACTTACAAACAATTTCAAATTTTGCTTTAAGTTAAATCTTTCGTTCGTAAGCATTTGCTGTCTTACTCCATTACGGACGGATTGGAACTCTCGAAATTTAAATACAATACCATAACAGAAATGGTCGTCTCAATTAGAATTTTTGCCAATGAAAGCTCATAATTTTGCAGATTTTATGTTTAAAAATTTGAAAATACAATGGAAAGACTGACTCGTCGGCGGTACTGCTAGCTGGCTTGTGGGCAGTTTAATTTAGAAAGCTGAGATTTCCATCCAAACTCAGAACTTGCAAAAAGCCAATAACTTAACAGGTTACTCAGATCCACAGTTTTTTTTAATTGGTTTCCGAATTTCCATGGGGTCAGCGAACGAAACTGAGGCTGAGTCGAAGTTCGCCCATTCCTAAGATTGGCCCCAGTCTCCGTTGCATTCAAGGATTCCTAAAATTGAGCGACTTTCCATAAGAAACAGTCTTTCTTACGACTTTTCCAAAGTCAAAGTACTCTATGGTTCTACCATCATTCCTTTCAGGGTCCCCATGGATTAAACTCAACAAAGATGTGGTCTGCTTTGGCGCCAAAAATGACGCATTCGGGAACTTCATTGTGACGTCTCACGGAACTATCCTAACAATGAGGCTGGTCTACATTTCGGGGTTTGTGACGTGTAATAACAGAACCGTCCCTTATGGAAGTCACTGGGCGTGTAAAAAGGGATCAAATATTGCAACAATTGTCACCAGTGCAGCCAAGAATGTAATATTCCCAGAAGATTACAAAAATAAATCTTACTCATTAGTTGGTTACCATGCCAACTCGTCAGAGCTGGTATTTCCACCCCGGTCTAAACCCCTGAAGGTAACTAATGGCGAGGAATACCAAATATGGTATAACGAGGATTTCGTTAATGGAGAAGAATTTAACAACGACGGACAAACCTGCGTGAATGTTTACGCCCTGTATGAGTCATACTAGGCCAACTGCTTACTTCCTCTCACTGGATTAGAAAACAGCGGAATTAATACAGTTGTCGTCTGTGTGATGGAAGTTCTGAATGTAACCGTTGTCGGTCAAAGCGACTGACTTCATGGTCTGATGATGACTTCCAACCAGGTTTTCAAAGCGTAAATTGTTGTCATTTGTACGATTATGGTTATGATCGACCGTTTACTGTTACCGCTCACTTTAAAATAAGTAATATTATTTCAAAATCATTGATTGTTTGAAATTTTCGCGTTTCTAAAATGACCCGTCCACGTTGCGCTACATGCAGTATTACATTAGTGTTTTGAGGTTTTCTCGTGTATAGATTCACATTGAGGTACTTTTAATTATTATATCTGTGAAAATTTTAAATGGTAATTTACTATAATCATTTCCTTTTTTGTGCAAATCACACAACGGTATGGTCAGGATATCATGCCCTAGAAATCAATAAAAGTGTCGCGAACTTGTAGCTGTTTCTTCTGCACTGCTTTCACCATCTATTAGGTATCGTAATATGCACTAATTATAATTTCCAGACTATGAACAGTCCCTCCTTTCCAGCGAGGACCGTCGGGCAACACGGTCATTTGCATGGCTCAAACTGTGCTAAGAGCGACAATGACTGGCGTGAGGACAGCGGTCTCCTTACTAAGAAAGAGCAATGTTCCAGTTAAACAGCTGCGGTCTGGAGATGTTAGACGTAGCTGGAATAGAAACTATTTATCTAAGGGTGGCCCAAGCTCCCATTGTGAGATGATAATCTTGCGAAATAAGAGTCATGGCGAAATTATAAGAATTTGTAAGGGAATATTTACGAGCGCTCGTAGGAGTAAAAAAAGACAGTCAAATTCTTAATAAAAATACCTCACCTTACTTCCACAGTGCATCGCTTGTTATCAAACCGCTTACTATGTTGAAAAGAACCCATTTTAGCGAGTTATCCATTTCTAGGTTTATTACAAAGGAGGAGCTTCTCTCATGTAATTTTGCAAGATGATCATCTCACACTTAGACTATTGCTTAGTAAATTATATGCCTTTTGCTTACCTGCCTCTGTTATGTTTTCATTTGCTGCAAGGTCCAACGTGCATAGCTGACAGTTGTTGTTGGTGATGGCTTCAGCCAAGTTCTGTGCTCCATTGTCTGCGATATTATTATTCCAAAGATTTAATGTGCGTAGCTGACAGTTGTTGTTCTTGATGGCTTCAGCTAAGTGCTGTGCTCCAATGTCTGAGGTGTCATTGCGTAAGAGGTTTAATGTGTGTAGCTGACTGACATTGTTGTCGATGACTTTAGTCGAGTGCTGTGCCCTTATGTCTGAGATGTTATTTAATGAGAGGTTTAACATGTGTAGCTGACGGTTGTTTTTGTTGATGGCTTTAGCCAAGTGCTCTGCTCCAATCTCTAAGATGTTATTTCCCTAGAGGTTTAATGTGTGTAGCTGACAGTTGTTGTTGTTGATGGCTTTAGCCAAGTGCTGTGCCCCAATGTTTGAGATTTTATTGTATGAGGGCATAAGGTGCGTAGCTGACAGTTGTTGTTGTTGATGGCTTCAGCTAAATACTCTGCTGCTTCGTCTGTCAATTGATTGTGTGTGAGGTTTAACCAGCTCAGTTGAGATTTCCTACTTTTTAACAATTCACAAATCTCAAAACAACCTAATGGACCAATGTCATTGTATCTCAAATTTAAATGTGAAATTTGTTGAACGTTAATTACATTTACTAACGAAGAGCAACCAACAGCTGTGAAGTGACAAGAAATAAAATTTACATAATTAGAGTTTATTTGTGGAAGTTTTCTCTGTGCTTCTATCTTCATTCTACTATTTTCGTTTATACATTAGATTAATGTCACTGCTAAATCTTGTTCGTCTTTAGTCGGCCAGCAGGTCACTTTCCTTTTCTCTTCATTCTCTGTCCACTGTTCGTTGTAGTCTGCGCTTTGTTTTTCTTCAGTTTTCACAGGAAGGTTAGTGATAATTTCCCTTGGTAGGTCATTTTCATCCACCATTAGTCCTGCTAGAAACGGAAAACCAGCTGCCATTTGCTTTCTTTGATGTTCTCAGTAATGAAGTTCCTTAATTCTGTTTCACTCCAGTTTGTCAGGTGCCTCGCAGCGAAAAACTCCTGCATTGTAAGATGAATGAAACAGAACTGTTCTTCTCTACTAAACGGGTCAGGTTCACGGTCGGGTAAGTGGTGAAATAGAGCGCTGTCTTCCATTCCGCGTACTTCGTTTCCTACAAAGGTTAGACTTCTTCCTTTAATTCCTTCAAATGCCATTTGTTCCAGTTTCTTCGATTTCTTTTCTTCTTTAGGGGGAAAATCACTTGATTCAAAGTCTTCGCGAGTGGAATGTTTATATCGAAATTCTTCTTTGTGTCTTAAGTAGAAAATTTTCACGGCTTTCCTGTAAATGTTTGTTAAACTTGTTGGTAGGTCAAGACTTTTAGAACCATAGAACTTCACCATTTTAAAGAGACTTGAGCAAATGATGAAGCAACTCGCAGGAATGTAGCATAGAGATAAGATATTGATGTTGCTGGAGATGTGACGTCTTTCTGTGTCGCCTGCTTCCTTGTCTTCTTCAGCAAATTTGGTTACATATTCTTCGACTTGTTCGGATGAGAAGCCAAGGATCTCGAATATTTTGTCAAAAAGAATACTTTCGGTGCATGACATAGCTGTTGCGGTAAAGTTTCCGCACAGCCCCATACTATTGTAAAAAAAATCTGTTTTCCCAATGGAAATGTATTGTTTTTGTCACTGTTTTCTCTATTCAAGAACTGAATGCATAATGTAGTATGGGGCTGTGAGGAAATTTTACCGCGAAAAGAGGCATCCTCTCTTCTACGCTATCTCTGTATTGAGGTTCACTATCTTCCGTGCTGATCTTTGAGTTAAATTTGAATTCATCGATTCCATCGAAAATGAAGAGAACTCTCTAGGGGTTTTCAAAGATGTAATTCCAGACATCCTCATCCAGCTCATTCCTGGGTGAGTATGTGGAGCAGGTCAGTAGCTCCCTAAGGGTAAGGTCGGTTGCATCGTTGAATGCTTTGAATTTGACGAAGAAAGCAGCATCAAAGTGGATTTTGTCCCCAGGTGTTTTATGGAATACTTGTTAGATGCCCAGTCTCTGAGAATGTTTGTACAGCAAAGAGTCTTTCCGATTCCGGGACGACCGACGATCAAAATTTTTTTTGTTTCCGTTATTAAGAATGTCCTTTGGCCCTCTCGGTGTTTCGTTTTTCCCACCCGACCTGGTATAGATTTCCAAATTCTTCCGTCTGTTTTCAGTAAAGTCATATTTAGCCATGTCAGGCAGAACAAAAAGGTTTGTATAAATCTGATCCAGAGTCAAATGTTTAGGTGGGTGTCCTGCGCCAGATGGACTTGGAAAAGGCGACCGAAGTCGTGGAGGTTGATCAGTGACGTCTCTAATATTTTCCTTTGTGCCGGTCTTGGATGAATTTCTGAGTGGTAGTTTTAGGAGTTGTTCAGGCTCGCTTGGCAGATGTAGGATACTCCTTTCGGTTCTTTCTTCAAGCTGCAGTTGTGGGATGTTTGTTTCATGTTCTGTTCTTGCTTCTTGCTGCTGAATTTCTTGTAGGATGTTTGCTTTATGTTCTGTTCTTTCTTCTTGCTGCTGAGGATTTTGGTTGATCGACAGAATAGTAAACAATGGAAACAAATAATGAAGCAGATCGGACCATTGGTTAGTTATGTTGGTTAAAGGAAGCGGTCAACTTATAAATAGCACCATCTGAAACAGAATCATGCGGACAAAGTCGTGTTTTACACAGCACTCATGAAAGATCACTGTTTATTTCTAAAAGAAAACAGCTTACAATAGCTGATAATTGATAACCCAAATCAATTCCTAACAAATGAGCGAGCTTTTGACCGCACAGTTCCAGAGGACTGCCAGTTCCCGCGTCAACTTTCGATTGGCAAATGAAACTTAGAAACTAATCAACTGATTTTAAGTTTCTCGACCTATTCTCCGACTAAGGTCTCCTCTGAGACGTTCACAACTCTTTCTCAATCTCGTTCATTGCTATCTCTGGTGCTCTTTCTCGGCTAAAAAAAGGATACCGTGCTTTCACGCTATCTAGCAACCCGTACTATAACTGGAAAACGAAATTTAGCAAAGTTATCAGTATATTCAGTCATCGGCGTTCTGTAAAAGCGATTCACTGAGAGCCAAATCCCAATAGTGTTCTACTCCGTATTTCTTAAGATGTTCTCTCGCCATGGACTGCATCGGACATAACTTAAATTTCCAGTCACTAAAGCTTCTCTCCTGATTTGTGCCCTACACGACGGAAAAAAGTAATCATCAGCTGTTACCTACGAGGGTTGATTACTGCCGAAAGTAAGTTTGGGATTTTTTTTATGCTGTTTGCCAATGCTGTTTTAATGTTTTCACTGATGTTTTTGCGTTTGACATGTTCTCAATTATGTTTGCCAATGCTGTTTTAATGTTTTCACTGATGTTTTTGTGTTTGACGTGTTCTCAATTATGTTCGCCAAAACGTCATTGTTGTTTTGTTGCTCCTGTATTCGATTCTTCGTATTCCGCTTTATGTTTGTCCAACAGGTGCATAAAGTATGCACTTATATGCTTTTTTAGCCCGATTTACGCCGGCATTTTGATAATTGTTTCCTACAAATTGGTGAATTTTTGATATGAAAATCAAGGTCGAAGAGAAGGGTCTCCTCTGATCACACTGGTATGAAAAATATTTCTGGTGAAGTTTTCCATATTTTGTTTGTGAAGTGACTGACGACATTTCCCAACTTGTAGCAAGGGAGAATTCCGTGAGATGTCACAGCAGTGCCAGCGCGCTCGACAAAATCTGTGAAATTTACACTTTCGATTGCTGTCCACACAGATGGTCTAGCCAAAAATCAATTTTGTCTTGTAACGACGGAAAAGAAGAGAATTGGAGAACCAAACTATTCTTTTTCCATGGGAAGTCGAGAGGATGCTCTTAGCGAGAGCGGCTCTTAGTTTATCACTCGCGAAACTATAGCGGTCGAGCTCTGGAGGAACATAACTCGAAACACGAATAATAGACTCGCACTTTATAATAACAGAATACGTAATATTCACATAACCATAAACATAATGCGGAATACAAAGAATCGAATACAGGAGCAACAAAACAACAGCGATGAAATCTCAAACTTAATTTTGGCGGTAATCACCAATTATGATTACACAATTTTGTTTGTTAGGGTATACAAGACACTTTCAGACCTAGCGTGACCGAAATACAAAGAAAACATGATACGGGACAATCGTTACGATCCTTGAGAGAAGTTTCTTTCATGTTTACTTTTTCCAAGTAAGGTGAGCAGTCTTGACAAAGGATCGCGACAAAAGTTTGACCAATGATTTATAACAAATTTGTTCCATAACTACTACACAAATCATGTCATCCTCATCACAAACCGCTATCTGAAATGGGGTGTGTACAGACGTACTCTTACCTCCCACACGAGCACACAAGGAGCGGTCTTTTTGTTTGCTACTTCTTCGGCGTGATCATCATCATCAGAATCTTTCTCGTCTTCCCACTTGATTCGACTCAACATTAGACGTTTGAATTTTTTCACAGCTTTTGGCCCTCCTTCCACAATGACTATATTGATATCTTTGTACAGGAGAGCGCACCCTGTTGATAGAGCAAAACTTCGGTAAAAAAAAAAAATAATAACAATAACAATAACAACAAAAACAAAAAAAGAAGAGAATCAGACATTACCCAGCCGCCTTAAACGCAGGCTTTCCCACTGAATATCTTTGAGTAACGATTTAAAACCAAACCACTGGGTTAATCTAGACCATCATCGGAAAATTTTTGAGATAAATATGTGTTTGAGTGTGTCAAGGTATCTTTAAGAACCATTTTCGCCCATGTGACGGCTGTGCTTCCATGCAAGAAATTTAAGGAGAAAGGTTGCACAAATCATTACACTAGGTCAGACAAAATGTATCTCTTCTTCAAAAGAAACCCTAAAAAAAATAAGTATAGCTGTCCTTAAAGCACCACTAATCAATGTACTGGTCTGTCCTTATGAAAGTGGAAAGCCTCAGGTAGGCGCTGAAGTACACACTTAACTATAATCGCCCTTCTTATCTTGTGTGCATTCACTGGTTATTTGTTGTAAGAGGGGTATCCCGCCTTGGCGTATTTGCATGTCATTGTCAGCCGAAGTCACATCTTCGAGTTTAAACGTTTCAAGGAGAGGAACCGGCTTTGCCGAGTCAGCTTCATGTTAAATCTGAGAGTATGTCACATTCAAACAACAGTAATACGGCTACTCTCTGGCAGGGCTACGAGCCCTCGAACAAAACGAAGTGAGAATAAAGCGTAATGCGTAGGTGTAAGCAAGTCTCATTACTTCACTAGGAGAAAAGATTCCGTTCTCTTTCCGGAGATTGTGGAAAAAAATCGTTGGTTTTATCATCTATTTTTTTCCTCAGAACGCGAAGAAGTTTAAT